ACGGCCCCGCACCGCGGCCTGCCCTCGCCTGCGGCCCTGCGAGCGCTGAGCGCTGACAGCCTGCGGGGCCGAAAGCGCTGAAAGGCTGGGAAGAGGGCAGGTGAGCGCAGGGCTGCCAACACTGCCATTGTTCACTCGGTTCACTCCGTTGCAATTGCAAGCGCAAAGCGCATCGCGTTTTTGCGGGCTGCCGGGGCAGGCGGGGCTGGCAGGGCTGGCAGGCAGCGCGAGGGACTAGGCTAGGGACAGACACACAAAAACGCGACTCGCGGGATGATGGAAGGAAAGAAAGCACAGTGATACTGTCCCTTTGTTTACACCGAAAATCAGAGCCGGAGCCGCAGAGCTCCGCAGAGAATGAATGTCCTGGAGGCAATCGTCTGGAGTGCGGTGCGGCCCACTGCAAGAGCTGCACGCAGAGCCTTCTGACAGCATCGTTTCGTCGCTCTGTCTCTCTCGCACTCGGCGCGTTTCCGTAGGGTGCGAGAGAGACAGAGCGACGAAAATGCGGTCCTTCGGAACGATGAGGTAGAACCAAGCTGGATAGAAGAAGCGCCCTCGAGCTAGAGAGGCGCGACCGAAATTCCCGCCGCCCAAAGGCGAGACAGTAATTTGCCTCTCGGCTCGCTTTTTAAATCTTGTTGTTGTTTGCGGGGCGCCGCTGCGAGGTGGGTGAGGCAGCGCTGCTGCGGCGGGCCCGGGCGGGCCGCGGTGGCGTTGTCAGGAACCAGGAACCGGCAGCGACTTTCTGTACGTGTGGGGGACTCAAGTGAGCACGGGAAGCCGGGGAAAGCCGCCCCGGGGCGTATCTCGCGACACGGAGCCACGAAGCGAGGCGGGGCGGGGCGGGGCCACGAGAGGGCGCCAGGGGCGCAGCACAGCGCCAGCGCACCCGCCCAGCCCGCCGAGTGGCGCCGGGGACCTAATAAAAGTTTGGCTTGGACGTCGTGAATGAAAAGTCTGTGCACACAACTTCATGCGACGTTGGTTTGGTCTGGTGCACCGCCCACCCCGCATCGCGCACCGCGCACCCCGCCCTCTCTCGCGCGGCAGTGGCACTTCACCCACCTCGCAGGCTTGGCTCCGACCGCGCGGGCCGCGCCGTCAAGGGGGCCGTCAACCAGCCAGTCAACCAGCAGGCCGTCAACCAGGCCGTCAACCAGGCCGTCAACCAGGTCGTCAACCAGGCGCCTCGCGGATTGGCGTCGGTGCCAATCTGATGGGGGAAGGGGGAGGGGGCACTCGATATGCTGGGGAGGCAGAGCTGGCCGAGCTGGGGGAGGCATTTCTCGAAACAAGCGAAAAAACGTGTACGCCGAATTCAATCAGCCGCGATCAAGCCCAATGTATTTCGGGGCAGAGAGGGGACGGGCGGAATGTGCAATCCCAGCCTACGTGTTTCAAAATCACGAATTATTTTCTGACTTGTTGTACAGGTCCACCACTACAAAATATATAGAACCTTAATTTATCTGGTCACTATGCATCGTGCATGCAGTGCTGGAATCATGCAAGCCATCTTTCAAGCCGCACTTCTTCCAAAAAGCATTGTTGGGTCAGGAGGGACGCCAGAGACAGCGGTTTGCCTAGCCAACAGAATGGCACAACTACTTTTTCGGCCAGAATGCACGAAGATAAGGAGCAGGAGAAGAAGAAGAAGCAGAAGGAGGCGCCGTATCGGACCCTGTTGCCATGACGACGGCGCCCTCGCTGCCGCCCGCTCCCTCCGCGCTCCGCGCTGCCGCCACCTCAGAGTGCCATTTCAACCACCCCACCATGGCCTGGTCTGCCACCCCTGCGGGCCAGCCTGCGCGCCAGCGTAGTGGTTACTTGCTCTGTGCGCGCTAGCGTCTAGCGCTGCGAGCAGGCCAAGCAGGCCGAGGCGCGACGGCCATCTCTGTCACACCGCGCGACCCCCCACTACACTGCTCCGCACCCCGTCCCGCGGCCAACCAACATGGCGGCGAGGCGACGCGGGCCTCACCACGTTTCCCACCCTCGGCAACCCTCGAGCCTCGGGCTGCCCACCCCTCTCGCCACCCCCCGCGCCTGGCCTGGCGGCCTCCGCCCTCGCAGCCTCGCATCGAGCATCCTCCAATGAATCGCCCGCCGCGAATTTCCTTCACCAAAAACCGCCAGGGGCTCGTCCTCGTCTTGGCATTCCGAGGCGAACAATTGCCTCGAATTAACACCCGAATTCCCGTTGGTCCTTCCCCGACCGTGGAAGTTGGCGGTCCCACTTCACAGACGGCCGAGGCCGCCGAGGCCGAAGACGTCGCGACCTCTTGCAGGGCCCTTCCGGAGCACACCATGCAGTGCACTGCGCGCACTGCGCCAGCACTGCGCCGTGGTGGCCAAAAGGCTGCCAATCGAAAAGCCAGCTCTGAGGGTTGTTCGGGAGTAGAGTGGCGGGACGGGACGGGACGTCGGCGGGAAAGCACTCTACGCCATCAACATCAAGGACATGCGCTGTGGAGGGCCCTCCACTCCAAGCCAATGTTTCCGATCGGGGCGAGGCGAGGCGAGGCGAGGCGCAGCCCTTGTTTCTTGTTCTGTTATATTTTGTTGTCGCAGTGCGCGTGCCCGCACTGCCGCATTGGCGCATTGTCCCAACGCACGCGCGCACGCCACTCAACACGCGCAGTGGCAATAGTCCACTGGTCACAAAATATTTTTCCATTTTAGTTTACGTACTTTTTATTTTCTTCAAATTTGTGAGAACGTCAAAATATACACATTGTACTGACACGTACCACAGTGTAAATTTGCTTTGTAAAGCTGCAAGACGCTGAAACCCACTTCCCCACAGTGCGCCCGCGGAGTCGAGCGTAGGCAACCCGCTCCGCCACCCCCGGCTTGACTTGACTTGAGAGTGAGAGGCTAGACCGGGGTTAGTTTTAGCGGTCGTAAGAATGGCAACCTTTGGCAGGGTCGACTGCACTGTTACTTGTCACCGCCCTGAGTTCCAATCCACTCGAGACTCGGGCTCGCCCTTTACCGCAGGGTAGCCGCAGGGTAGCCGCAGGGTAGCGCGGCGAGGGAAGGGCGTGGCCACGGCTGCCACGGCGTTGGCGTGCATGCGGTGCATGTGCTGCGTGGCGATGGGGCCCGGCGATGGGGCACGGCCATAGGTGCGAGAGAGACGCGGGAAAAAGGAACAGGACCCGCGCCTCCTTTCAAGGAAAACACAGGAGGGAAAATGAGGAAGGGGAAGGAGGTGGGGGTGGCTTGCAGACGCTTGCAGACGCTTGCAGACGCTTGCAGACGGCCGAGACGCGACGTGTCGTTCCTCCTCGCCTCCTTGGCGTCGCCCTGGCCGTGTCTTTGCAGCCTTGGCAGCCTTGGCGAGCCAGGAGGAGCATCGCTGTGACCTGGAAGGCCAGGAAGGCGCCGGCGTACTTTATATATGCATTGCAGCTTTGTGAAGTGAGATTGCCACCAGGGGTGTCTTTGGTTCACAAAGGGCCCTGTCCCGCCCTCGGCCCGCCCTCGCCCCGTACTTGTACTCCCTGTTTGTGCTCGCAGCGTCGCAGGGCCTCTACGCCAGCCTCGCGGGCAGGGCGGGCAGGGCCACGACGTCGCCTTATTCAGGGGGACTTTAAATTAAAGAAGCGCCGCGCCATGCCATGCCGTGCCCTGGCGCGCTCTGCCGTGCCCTGCCCGACGCTATGGGGCGGTGGAGGCGGGGCGTCCTTTTAGAGAAGACAAAGGAGCGAAAAAAATGAGGACAAAAAAAAACGCTACGCACGCCACGCACCTTGTACAACCCCGCCCCTCGCCGTTTCAAAGGGAGCCGTGCTGAGCCATGCTGATGACACGCGGAGGCACGCCATGGCAAGGCACGGCAAGGCCCATGCGAAAACAAGCCAACCCCCCACCCAGCCCCCGGGCACAGCGTAGCACAGCGACATTGTTTTTGGTTTTGTCGTCTTTTTTATTAGATGTGTTTACGTTTATTTTCGATAAGCCCAGACTGAGCGCAACGCCTACGCTAATCCGGATAAAGAATGATCTCCTCTTCTGAATCCACCGAAATTAGTTCGCAAGGATTTCGAAGAAAGATATTTTATCTTGCTTTGTTTAGGCAGCTTGGTCTTCCCGGTCTTCCCCGATACACGCATCCGTTGGGGCCAAACGCCCAGCGCGCAGGTAGGGAACCCCCCAAGTTCCCCCTTCCTCCGACCTGATCAAGTTTAGTGGCCGATGGGTTGCCTAGCCTTCAGGAGGCTCGCAAGTTCGCACCCGGAGACACTGGACATCGCATAACGAGTGAGTAACAAACAACAGGCGGGCGGGCAGAGCTGAAGTGTTTTAATAAGCAGAGAGGATTTTGTACAGGGCCCTTTTTAACGGTGGTTCTGATTTATGAGACATTTTCGTCGTCTTATTGACTTCAGCTGTTTCAAGAGCCCTACGCATGGTGCTTTATCATTGTGTGATTTCCTTCGTGACTTTAATTACTCTGTTACTAATTATTCTGAAATGGAGATAGTATTTATCTCTGACTAATTAACAATCTGCTCTGTAAATTTGCTGGTTTAGCAAATTTTTCATCATTTGAGACATAATTGTGTTAAATTGGAAAGTCATCTTGAGCTTTAAACATTTTTCTTTAATGTTTTATATTTTTTTATGTTGAATGAAGTACATTAACAAGAGCAATTGCACTTCTTCGTTCCATTGATCCCCCTCCCCTAGAGGCTTCCCCCCCCCCTCTCCATTCCAAACGTAAACCTCCAAACACCCTCAATCTCCGCTCCCATAAAAAAATAGATGGAGGAGGATTCATAACTTTTCACTTCAAAGTCAGTAGTGAATTTGAATGATGCATGTAAGAAACTCCCACGCGTTTTTAAATCAAAATGCCAGCGTGAAGGAGTTCGAGTTAACCACCAGTTGCTTTTAGCGGGAAGCCGTCCCCCTCCGCTCCTCCCCTTCCCCCCCTTCCCTGCCCTTTACACACAAACAAACCGGTCGGAACTTGTTCGAACGTTGAGTGAGTTGAGACTAGGTGAGTATCTAGTTGTAAGCTTTATGACGCGTTGACCTTTATTATTTCGCTTTTCTTACACGAAGAAAGAATTGTTTTCGTGTGAGTTGGTCGTTCTATTCTCTACGACCTTCCGTGGAAAGAAGATGTAGGAGATCATTGTCCGGTGTGAGCGTGCCCCTGCTGCCTTGCTGGAGCCGTCCTCTCAAACATTTGTGTCATTTTGTTGTTTTCAGAGCGTTTGTCGATTTCTGAAGGCTAAAATGTCTTTAGAAAACAGCCAGTACACGTTTCACACTCTTCAAAGTGCCAACCAGAATGCTTTCAGGAAAGGTAAGTTTCCCCCGCTTTTCAGGAGTACAGTTTTTAAACCATTTCTACTTGTAGGATCTTCAAATTTCCAGCTGAACCTTACAAATTAAATTGCGTTGCTTCTTGTTTGCATGGAAACATCAGAACCGTTTAACAACCCTCAAATGTGCACTATCGGTCCAAACCCTTAACCTTAATGAACTGCCTTCATGTTTCGATTCAGTGTCTTCTCTTCTGTGTCCTAACATTTAATCTTCGCATGTTCTTTTATCATTACAGTTCCTTTGTTTTTCTTTTTCAGAGGTGGATAGAATTACCAAAGAAGCTGATCATGTTGAATCCAGTGATGAGGAGACTCCTCAATCCACCAACGCTCCCTCTCAGGCTAAACGGGGAAGATTCTCTCAAAGCCAAGACGGCTCTCAAAGGCGCAACCATTGCCCTGTTAGTTCTCAAATGCATTAACTTATACTTGTCCACCTAAATTTAAGCAGGTTAACATTGTTTAAACCCCTTACTTTCTTTCTAGTCTAGAGCCATCAGTGGTGTAGTGCTTGAGGTTCATCTGGACAACTTTTTGTGTCATGATAGCTACAAAGTGGTGCTTAACAAAGAAATAAACTTTATCGTTGGCCGAAATGGTTCAGGCAAGAGTGCCATTCTCACGGGCCTTGTTGTAGCCTTAGGCGGAAGTGCCAGCACCACAGGACGTGGAGCAGCACTCAAGGGTATGTCAAAACTTCACAAGTTTACTGCAAAGTTGATTGTTTCCGTGCATTGTGATGAAGGGATTTATGTTTATTCTGACTTTCAGACTTTGTCAAGCATGGTTGTCCTACTGCCAGAGTGAAATGTATCATCAGTAATGCAGGGGCTTTAAATTATCATAGGGATCTTTATGGAGACAAGATACAAGTAGTAAGAACTATCCAAAGCCAAGGTGGTTCAAGCGTCAAGCTGCTTTCTGAAAACGGTAGATTTTTTTGTGGCTTCTCTGCTTATTGTGTGTGAAAAAAGCCTTGCTATTTAAAGATGAACCCAAACTGAAACTTTATTACTTATTTTTCTACAGGGAAACTTGTCTCATCAAAAATGGATGACTTAAAATCCATGACATTACATCTAGGCATTCAGGTTGATAATCCAATAAGTGTTCTTGATCAAAACACTGCCAGACACTTCCTCAACATGAGTAAGCCTTCTAACAAATTTGATCTATTTATGAGAGCTACCAATCTGGAGACACTGCAGAAGATATACATCGATATTGCATTGTCTGTTGATAGAACTCACCAGGAGATCAAGAAAAAAGAAAGAGTGTGTTTTCCTATTTAATTTTGAATGATCATTTACCGTATATGTTGCTTTATTTTACAACCACCTTCTGTTCACAGGAATTAGTTGACAACAATGCTGAAGTCATTGAAATCAAAAGAAAATATGACATGCTTCAAGGTCTTGAAGCAGATCGAGCAAACGAAAATATCTTGAAAATGGAGTTGCTCTGGGCAGAGGCAAGTAATGACTACAAAAAGTAGGCAACTTAGTGTAACTTTTTACCAATTATACTGTATTGGTTTCTTTCAGGCAAGAGATTATGGGAGTGCCTTGGCGCGCGCTGAAAAAGATCTTCAGAAAGCTGTAAGAGAGAAAGAGCAACTTTCAAATACACTATCTTCTGAAGAGCAGTCTGAGACAATACTGCAAGAAATAGAGTAAGTCCCACTCGTCGGTTTGTTGATACTTTGGCACAGGAATTCATCTAATTCTTTTACCAGGTCTGCCAAAGCTGAGGTTGATAAGCTGAAGGAGCTGCGAAAAGAAGTAGAAGACAATTTAAAGGAACTTAGGACAAAAATGCAGACTATTAATCAGCAGCAGAGGAAGATTGCCCAGGAGCGGCAAGCAATTGAAAATCAAATCAAGTCAGACAAAACTACACTTGATGCGTACAAGGCTGAAATTGTATCTCAAGAGAGGAAGTAAGTTTCATCATCCTCCTTGTGCTCAATTGGCATAATTCATTGTAGGCTGCAGAATTGATTGTTAACTGCTCTCTTTTCAATTACAGGCTGTTGCCAGAACATATAGACAGGAGGCGGAAACAAAGAGAGGAGATCCATGAGCTGCAGGGTCGAATGCAACAGCTCGAAGAGAATCAGGGTGCTAAGCAAGCTGAAGTGAAAGCACTGCAAGCTAAGGCTGTGGGCATCAATGATACTCTTGATCAGCTGAAAAGAAACCAAAGGAGGCTCGACAGTGATTTGAGTAAGAATCAATTTCCTTAATTGGAAATAAAATTATTTGGGTGTTGATTGAATGTTTGTTCTTCATTTCTTTGATATTCTTTGTACCCAGGAAGCCTCACTACCAATCTTCAGGGCCTTGAGTCTAATGAATCCAACCTGTCCTTGTTTGGGCCATGTATACCAGAGCTTGTAAGGCAAATTGAATTAAACAATCGCTTTAAAAAGAAGCCTGTCGGTCCACTTGGTAAGTTTTTACCTCTTTTTCCCATATTCATAGCTTTTAAGTTAATCTTCTGAACTGCTCTATTTCTGAATTTATTTCATAGAGTTTGTCACATAGATTTGTTTTTCTCTCTTCTGCAGGTTCTTATGTGAAAGTGATGGATTCAAAGTGGACCTTGGCTATAGAGAGTGTGATTGGGGGACGTATGAACACCTTTGTTGTAGATAATTTAGATGACGAAAAACTCCTTCGCAATTTGATTCAGAGAATATGTACTCGGGGTAGACAGCCTGGCATCATTCGAACCAGCTTTCCCACTACGGTGAATTTTCTCTCAGCAACAAAGTAAGTGTATTCTACCTTCCTGTGTATTGATTCTATCCCCATGTTTCAGGTGTATGATACGTCGAGAAGGGCTGCTCGCACTTCCGAGTATGGGAACATTCTGGATGTTGTTGAGATCTCTAATGTAGTTGCTCACAATATACTCATAGAATTGTGCAGTTTGGAGTCTACCATGCTCATTCCAACTGATGATGAGTGCTACCGATTGCTATCTAATTTGACGTCTGTGCCAAGGAATTGTGGAAGGGCTTATACATTGAATGCTGACTCATACTTTCCTGCACCCAACTACAGAACCTATTCATCAAACCAGCGATCTGCGGCATTTTTACAATCCTCCCGGGACTCTGTAATAAGGTAAAAGTCATTAAGTTTGCAATTCAAAATATTCTGTCAATATGTTGTTTGTGTCTATACATTTTCTGTTTCTTTTAATTTTTAGGGAAACAAAGCAAAAAATTCAAGATGCACAAGGGATGCTGCAAGAGGTGAACCAGAAAATGGCTAGTGCGAGAAATGAGTTGGAAACGGTTGACAGAGAAGTGATGCAAAAACGGTCTGCTATGCAGAACCTTGGAAGAGTGATCATGGAGACCAAAAGAAAGCTAGATGAGTTGAAGGATGCTGAACAGCCAGACACTCACTCAATATCTGAGCTCAAAGAAGAACTTGCTGAGCTAGAAAGGAGGCAAGAAGAAAAGCTTAATAAGCTGAATGAATTCCCCTCCAAAATAGATGCGTTGAAGAAGGAAGGAAAAGAAACTGAGAAAAGTGGGAGTGTGTTGAAGCAGAAATTTAAAGATTTCACAGAGCAAATGGAAGCTCATATTCAAAAGAAAACAGCTTGTACTGAGAGGTTGGAAGAAATTAAATCTGCCCAAAGCAACAAGAAACGTAAACTGGAGCAAGTCAAGAAAAAAGAGGAGCAATGTACTACCGAATGCAAAGAGCTTGAAGATAAACTGAATGAAAAGAAGTTGGCTGCTGAAAAATATGAAGAGCATCTACGGTCGGAAGCTTTAGAGAAGGGGTTGGAAATAGAAAGCAAATCTGGCACTGATAGGTACAATCTTTGCTGGATTATTATCCTAAACTGTCTGTACTCTTACCATTTTTTGAAAACTTCAAACTTTGGTTTTCTTGTTTTTCTTTTCTAGGAAAATTAAGGTGATTGATCAAGAGCTCCGTAATTTGTCTAAACGACTTGCAAGCATTGAAAAAACACTTGGTCAAGATGCCGAAAGTACAGAAAAAGAATACCATGAGAAGCTAGGAGCATACAATACTACTAAAAAAAGAATCACTGATCTCAAATCAAATGCTGCAGTAAGTGTGTCACATTTCTTAAAAAGATTTGCCCTAAATGTTTTCAACTTCCATTTCCGTTTTTGTTTTTAGATTATGAAACATGCTCTTGATCAAAGAAAGAGTCTTTACCACACTCAAAAGAGCCTAATGTGTGCTGTAGTATCACACCAATTTACCAGGGTATTAAGGTATCGAAATTGTACTGTAAGTATTTTGTTAATATAACATCACCTTAAATCATAATTCATTGTGTTAGACTGGTTATTTCTGTATTCTGTGTCTGTTTCAGGGAAATGTTAAGGTGAACTTTGAAAGACGAAGTTTGGATATTAGTGTAGGTCCTATCGACGAAGGTGAAAGGGCTGGCTTAGGGACATCATCTCTTTCCGGTGGAGAGAGGTCATATGCTACAATGGCTTTTGTAATTGCTTTATGGAACGTCACTGAGCTGCCCTTCTATTACTTAGACGAATTCGATGTGTTTATGGTAAGTCTTTTGTGTACTTTGTGGTTGATTAGTCAGAATTTCAACACCAAGACTAACAATGTGATTGATTCACATAATGGTGATCATGACGTTTGTCACGTTTGTGTGGCCATGGTGGTGAATCGTGCGGTGTCCGCCCAGCTGCCTGCACCCCTTTACTCTGTCCCATCCTATGTATGTGACTGACAGGATGCACTCTTTTGCTGCCTTTTTCTATTTTGGAGACTGATGGCTACATGTTCTCCCTCATTGTTGCATCCACTCATCACAATATCTTTGTCCTTGAAGCCAAGGCTTGCTTATGTTGAAATTCTGATGAGAAGCATAATGCATGAAGGTTGGAGCTTCTTTCACTGTAAAATCTTTTATGTTCCCATCAGGATATGTTGAACCGGCAAACGGTTCTGACACTGTTACTGAGGTTTGCTAAGCAGAAACGCGGTTATCAGTTCGGGTTTTTAACCCCTCTTGATACCACTGCTGTTTCATCATCTTCAAAAGTGTCCATTTTCAAGTAAGTGTTCTTTTATCCCAACTGAAGTTTGATTCTGTTCTAATAATTTCATTAACATTTTGATATTTTCTTTTCAGGCTTAATGATCCTCGACCTTGAGCACTCAAACAGGAAGATTATTTTATTTTTGTATTTTCTAAATGTATGTTAAGAATTTCCATTTCATAAGTGCCATTTATGCTGCTTTCTCGTTTTATTGTTCCACTTGCACTGGATGTGGGTTGCTTTTCACAAGTCCATAATCCAAGTTTCTAGTTTTATGTTTTAATACACATTGAAATAAAGAAATGTTAAATTAGCTCTGGAATTATTTTTTTCTTTTCTTTTCCTACTGATGTTTAAATGATTCCAGCTGTGCAGTATGCATCTATGTAATTTATTATAAAAGTTAGTGGCTTAGCTTGAAACATTATTTACATCCATGATTACAAAGGTAATTTGTCAGGTCCATTGTCCAAGGACCAACATCAAAGAACATAAAACCAATTGATTATCCTGTTTAATTAAAGCAAAAGAGTGCACAAGATTTCTTTTTGCAGTGAAGACCTTGGCTCAAAAGTTTGGATACTATCAGCTTGCTAATATATAATCACAGCATAGGAGTTTTCTCAACATATCTAGTTTATTCCCATATTACCTACTTAGTCTAATTTCAGTATGCAAACAAGCACACTGGTCTGTTCATACATCAACCATGAAACCAAATTCATAATTGACAAGAAAATGGTGGTAACAGCAATGCAAACATTAGAATGCCTTCAAAATTTCATAGAAACTTCATGAGAAGTACAGCAAAAACTGATCTAACAAGTCAACTTAAATCATCCCACCCTCCTCTAAAATTTGTAACACAAAGACAGAAATCTTGCCCAGTTCAGAACTTACTCTAAAATAGGAGACAAAGGAACCTACAACAATTTATTATCTGTTGTGATCAGTGTCTTAATCACTGATGCCTCTGATTGCAACAGTAATGAAAACAATACTCAAACAATAAATAAGAAAACTAAATACAAAACCTCGACTCTGGAGTACAAAAACTTACTGCCACACATCAAACATGTATTACAAACATACAATGATAAATGGATTAATGTGACAATTTGCATTGCTATCACAGGTCTATCTCAATGTTTCAAATGGGAAATCTGTCACATTCAAAATTAAGTGGTTTGCAGAAGAGGAAATCACTTGGTAGGAAGAACACACAGGGTAATTATTTCAAAACCTGCCATTGTGTTGAAAAAGCTGCACTCCTTTACCTTAGTTATTACTCAATGTCACATCTACCACATGTTATAGCTGAAAAGTACCAGTGCCTCACAACAAATAAACAATAATTGAACCACTGCTCATAAAAATTGTATTTGCCCTCATGAGGTGCACCATACAACCAGTCTGCACCTGAAATGGCATTGCCACATTAAGTGTATCGCAGTGTATCCAAGTAAGGCCTTAGAATGAAAGGCGCAGATTTTAGGGTTCAACAATCACCAGCGCTATAGAAAGCAGATACTGAACCATAAAAAGTCAATTATAAAAGTAACAAGTTAACAATTCATGTCACAAGATATTATGTTCATGAGTTAATTGCACATTTAAAGTCAGAATATTTTCCCATCTTTATCTTCCATTAGCTGAAGATTTAGATGAACTGCTCAGACTTTGTCATTGATTTTCAAAGTAGGCCTGTCTAGTTTATAAACAATTCTGATGATGTGTTGACCCAATATGAAATGAAATCAAAGTGACAACCATAAGCATCACACAACATGGTATAATAACTGGAGCAACTCAGTATCCAAACCGTGGTACAACAGATGCCTGTGCCAACTTAGGTGTTTATATTACATTAAAGGAATGTAGACTTAGACAACAATGAGCAAAGCAGACTTCATGGTCCAAACACAATTATCCAAAGTGGAAATTGTACCCCCCAAATCCGGAATCACTCTGTTGGAATACAGGATTTCCACCTGCAAAGAAACCACCAGGAAATCTTCCGCATGTAGCTGAAAAATAAAAATAACTCGTATTAATTTACAGCCTGATTTTTGAAATAGTAATAATAAATCAATTGAAGAAAATCAATATTACCCCAGCCACTGCCCATCCCATCCATCCCATCAATGTCATCAAAGTCCTGGTTACTGTCATATCTAGCTTTTTCCTTTGGGTCTGAAAGAATGGCATAGGCTTCACCAACTTCTTTGAACATTCTCTCTTGTTCCTGTTTCTCTATGTCTGAAGCATTTGAATGCCTGTCTGTAATAAAGAAATTTGGCAGGTTAGATAAATAAACTTGCTCTGTGAATGGAAATTTCTATGTTCCTAACTAGTTCATATAAGTTTATGCTCCCTACCTGGGTGGTGCTCTAAGGCCCTCTTTTTGTAAGCCTTCTTTATGTCCTCTTCACTAGCTGTTTTGTCAATACCCAAAACTTTGTAGTAGTCCTTCCGTTTCGAGCGTTTAAGAGCTAATTTTGCCTCTTGCAGTAACCGTCTGTGGGCTGCAAGTCAAAGAAAAATTACACTGTAAAGATGCAGAAAGTACAACAAACGCATTGCAGGAGAAACAGAACTATACTTCAGTCTCACCTCGACTTCGTTCAATGCGAAATGCTTTCTCATAGTCTATTACAGCCTCCTCTAGCTTGTTAAGATCTGAGTAGCACTTGGCCCTTCGCAACAGTGCTTTGAGATACTTATCATCCAACTTCAAAGCTGCAGTACAATCTGAAATGGCCTCTTGCAACTTATTCATCTATTTGAAAGAGAAGTCTTGGTATTAGAGCATGATATGCAGATAAATTCATGAGTCAATTTTGATGATAGGGACACACCTTGGAGGATACAGTAGCTCTGTTGAAATGTAATTTGGCATTGGTAGAAGTATTGAGGGGGTCAATAAGAAGTGCTTGAGAGTATAGGTCATATGCTTCCTGATGTTCTCCCGACTTAAAAGCTTCATTCCCTTTTTCCTTGGTGTACTTAAGAGCTCGGGCGCGCTATAGGGAGTTACAGAAATACCAGATTTTGTAGACAGAATATGGTTAACACTGATTTTAGCCCCCACCGTTTATTTTTCAATTTCTCTGGTTCCAAGGCAGACGCACATACTGTACCTTGTAAATATCTAAGGCTCTCTTATGATCAGGAGCTGATTTTAATACATGTTGGAAGTGGGTAAAAGCCTTGTCGACATTATCTTGGTAGTATAAACTCATGCCTCTGACATAGATAGCATCAACATTTTTGGTATCCATTTGAAGGATGTTACTGTAAATAATAATGCATACAACAGTTACATTTGCACTCTCCCCACCAGGTCTCATCACTTGAGCACTTGAATGAAACAACAAGAAAAGATACACACTTGGCAATTTCCTGGGCTTCTTCATGTCTTCCTAACAAAGCGAGTGACTCTGCCTTCATCAATGTGAACCGTTGACAGCCTCGAACAATTTCTAGGACACGATCCATGAGAAAGACAACTGTTCGAAAATCCTGTTTTTCCAGGCATTTGTCAGCATCATCCGAGTATTTCTGAACAGCAGCCAAATTGGCTCGTTCAGGGAGTAGCTGTGGATTGGATGGCTCTATTTCCAGGACTTTTGTTAATGCTTTGTCAGCTGCAGACAAATCACCCAACATCATATAACATTTTGCCAAGCGGAGATAACCCTGAAAATTAGGAATACCACAAATAACTCATTGAAAGTCGTCTTCAAAGTTAAACAATATATTTTGACTCAGCATTTTTAGTCTCACCTTGACAAATTTGGGGTCGATTTCAAGTGCTTTCCTCCCATCTGCCAAAGCATCCTTGTATTGATTGAGCATAATATAACAAGCAGCTCTGTTTCCATAATAGGAGGCATTGTTTGGGGATAAGTCTAAAAAAGAATTGAAAATTGTTATACATATTGCAAAATAAATAAGGCTAATTGCAGTGGGATATAACAAAATCAATTGTACTCACTGATAGCTTCAGTATACAGAGGTAGTGCCTTTTTGTACTGTTTCTTCTTGTACAATTGATTTCCTGCCTCCTTTCTGGATTCAGCCAAGCTAGAAGAAATGAATACATATGACATAGTGCTCTGGTGTGCAATAAACAAAGCAGACTTCAATCTAAAATTAAAATAACTGTTAATATGTTGCAGATATGACGGACAGAAAATCAAGCAAGTAGATCAGCAGGATAAAATTAATAAATCGGATGAGTTGAAAGACCAATTCTCGATGACGAGGCATAAGTGTTAATTTTAAAGAAAATGAACTACTACAGACGAAGGTTAGGTTAGGTGTGTCGTAACCGAAGAAAACGAGTCCCATTGCAAAGCCAAAACTTGGACACGGCAAACGTTCCCATGCAATACTATCTTTAAAACAGATCGTGCAATTAAAAAATTAACAGACGACAACAATTTGGAAAAGTAGGAGGTAGGCACCATGCACTGCCACTAGGCCCTCAATTATTCCATTGATTACTACTTACTCAATGGGTGAAATATCCTCTAATACGGTCACTTCAGGGTCTGCGACTGAAGAATCATCTGGGGCATCCATGGTTTTGTCAAGGATTGCCTCAAAGGTTTTTCCCTAATGATTCAGGATCAGAACAACAGACAGAAGCAGGGCAGGCAGTCGACGACGGTCGCTGCTGCTGCTGCCTGCTGCTACTTCTGATGCTGCTGCTGCTACCGCTGCTACTTTGCCCACTGCTACCCCTCCCCTCCCCCTCTCTCCTGTTCCCCCTCCCCGCCTGGTACGTCCCCGCAACAGACTGGCAACACGCCCAAAGTGAAAAAGGGGGCAACCCCAGGGGCCCAGAAAAATTTTTAATGGCAGAGATGTTGTGACGAGACGCGTTTTCTGGCCTAATTTGGTCTTTTTTTTTTGATCGGAGCACAGTTTTTAAAAGAAAATTAGTGAAATAAATTTCCTTAAAGTTGTGACGAATGCGGGTCACATTTCCCGGGTTATGGAGCTATCAGTGGCAATCACCCCGTAAAACCCTTTTTAATTAAATAATTTTACAAAATTTCGCCGGCGGAGCTATCGGGACGCCTCGGACCGCTAATTTCGTCAAAATCGAATATTATTGGGAAGAGGGGTTTTTGGGTAACTGACAGCATAGGCCTCCCCCTACCCGGAAGTAACATTTTTTAAGTGAATCTTGATGTGGTCGGTTCAAAATTCTTGGAATTTAAAATCAATAGGGATACTGAATTCGTGGCGGTTAGGTTTTTGGTGGCCAGAGGGTTTTTTTTCGGGGAATCTTTTCATTTTACTAAATAACCTATCTAGTTTCGAAGGAGAACACGGTAATTTTCCCCAACGGGGAAAAAATAAAATTTTCGTGCACCCCCACTTCCTAGTCCAAAAACTCATCCAACTTGGCCAAATTGTTTTTCATTTCCGGAAGCTGTTTTTTTGATGTTTTCCCCGGGGCGGGGGATAGCATAAACATACCCCTTTTTTAAATTACTTCCAAACTTCAGGAAAGAACTTAAACCACTTGGTATTCTCCCAAACTTCAATTCCTCTCCAAAGAAGGCAACAAAAAATATACCACTTTTTTCAAGCTCTCGCGAGCGAAAGGCAATCCAGAAATTTTGCCGGAAGGGTCAAAACAGTTGTGGGGCTTGTCGACCGCTGTCAAGAGATTCCAAGACTGGCCCCACATGTCAGCCACGTGAAGGAGAAGAACAGTGTTGGAAATCCTTCAACATTTTTCTGACGAGAAGCTGGATGGGAAGTGAATATAGTTTACTACGCCACCATTTTTAGACCGATCTCAAACAAAAAAGCAAGGCTTGCCAGTTTAAAATCTTTTTAATTAGATTTGTTCGAACATTTGGGGATTCTTTTTTGGAATATTGTCCACAAATGCCTCTGCAAATTCTTTTTACGGATTAAATTCATTTTCCCCAGGCGCTATAAAATTTAATCCTTGATGCAGGGAAAACCGGTTTAAAAAATTTATTTAACCAGGTTTTTTGAGAAGTACTGTTTGGTCAAAACCTAAAAATTTAAAAATACATTAAATATTTTCTTTTTTTCCATATTAAGCAGCGGGGGATAAACGGGCCAAGAGAGAATTCTTTCGTAATTTTATTAACTGAAAAATTTTTTTTAAACCCCCAAAGTCATAAAAAGCAAGCCCTGTTCCCCCAGACTAATACATAAACCAAATAGGTAAAATAAATTCCCCTTTTTTAACATCCAACTAACTTTTCAAATGTCCTCATCACATTAGTCTCCTGGTAAAATATCTGAAATCCCAGTTCATCAACCCTTTTAAGGAGTTCCCCAAATTCCCACTTTATCCCAGTTGATGGGTTGGGGAATAAGTTCATGTGGTGACGGGGGAAAATGTTGCTTATTTTTGGAAATTGTTTGCTGTAATTTAATGTAACAGTTATAATCATCCTGGTTTCACCCTTTACAGGCTGCTGATTTTGGAAGTTGAATTTTAACGAATTTGGAAGGGGCAGGGGCCATTCTTTTCTCAAAGATTATGACCTAGCAGCATGGAATGTACTTTCTCCATTTAGACAAAAAAATTAAATAAAAATTATTTTTCCAAAACTGGCTGTTTATGAATACAAAAATGTAAGTCTTCAAAAATTGGGCGTTTAAATTCAGTTTAAATTTAACCCAAAAGCCAAGTATTTTTCGTCCCCATTGGATTTCATGCATCTCAGTTATCTCAGTGTAAGACATTATCCAAATCTGATTTATTTTTTATGGTGATAATTCACTTGCAAGAAATGGAAAGAGCCTAATGCAGAAAAAAATTGTGCACTATCATCTGCTGCTTGTGAGGAAGCAAAGATACTGGAATACACAACACACAGTAATCAAATCAAAATTTAAAAAAAGAAATCAAACAAACAACAAACAAACAAACAAAATGATGAGAGAGACTATGCTCACCTAATTCAAATTTTGTGTAGAATTTTCAAAATATATTTAATTATTTACATTCGAAAACTGGGCATCCTGGCGCGTCAATACGTCAATACCCCGCGCGAGAGAGACCTCCAAATCATGGGCAAAAGTTTTTCCTTGTGCATCTGAGACAAAAGATTGTGAGAACTTTTCTGCAGAAAAACGGATTTAGAACAAGTTTTATTCTATGGTGTTTTGCTATATCTTGAAAGGTTTCTTAATAAAATAGAAACCGAAGTTGGATGTTGGCATCATTCCCAGCCCCCTGGCTCAAACGCTGTTTGTCAGAGAAAAAATTCTTAAGGAGAAAAGTGTTTAAGTTTTGTGAGAGGAATCGACGCGTGCCATCGCCCAAGTCGTGGTTCGAATCTCCATCGAAAAATTTTTTTTTTCATGCGTAGGACCATTTTTGTCAGTTCCATTGCAAAGATGGCATTTTTTCAAAGCGACTGCTTTTTTCCGGGTGCTGATAGGATAAAAATTGACCAAGATACGGTCCTTTAACCATCTGAAAAGCCCATATTTTCCGATAGTCTAATATTCGGCTCTATTAAACCTACAGCGATGAATTTGTGCTAGAACTAATTGTTTTGTGGCGATTGACAAAAATGTAAAGTTTCAGGTCGATATCTCCAACCGTTCGTAAATTACGGCCAAAGTGCAACTTTGAGTTTTGCCTTTGAGGGCGTTCCATGCAACAGAGCTCGGCCCTGCAGCCGCGAACAGGGTGATGGTTTCAAGTCGCATTTGGAACATACTAGAAGCCCGTGTAGCATCCGAGTTGGTCTCAAAATGACTGGCGCGCCAAGTAGAAGGCCTAGCATCAGTTTCGCATCGTATTTCAAGCGATTTTAGGAAATAACAACGTTCTAAACAAGTCGCGTCGTCTGCACCCATCCAGGTTCTCCCGCCTTCAGGCACGCGTTCTGATTGGCTGCTTCTGGCCCCCACCCACGCCAAAGTGTCACATGACCGCAGTAGCCAATCAGAACGCGTGCCTGAGGGCGGGAGAACCTGGATGGGTGCAGACGACGCGACTCGTTTAGAACGTTGTTATTTCCTAAAATCGCTTGAAATGCGATGCGAACCTGATGCTAGGCCTTCTACTTGGCACGCCAGTCATTTTGAGACCAACTCGGATGCTACACGGGCTTCTAGTATGTTACAAATGCGACTTGAAACCATCACCCTGTTCGCGGCTGCAGGGCCGAGCTCTGTTGCATGGAACGCCCTCAAAGGCAAAACTCAAAGTTGCACTTTGGCCGTAATTTACGAACGGTTGGAGATATCGACCTGAAACTTTACATTTTTGTCAATCGCCACAAAACAATTAGTTCTAGCACAAATTCATCGCTGTAGGTTTAATAGAGCCGAATATTAGACTATCGGAAAATATGGGCTTTTCAGATGGTTAAAGGACCGTATCTTGGTCAATTTTTATCCTATCAGCACCCGGAAAAAAGCAGTCGCTTTGAAAAAATGCCATCTTTGCAATGGAACTGACAAAAATGGTCCTACGCATGAAAAAAAAAATTTCGATGGAGATTCGAACCACGACTTGGGCGATGGCACGCGTCGATTCCTCTCACAAAACTGAAACACTTTTCTCCTTAAGAATTTTTTCTCTGACAAACAGCGTTTGAGCCAGGGGGCTGGGAATGATGCCAACATCCAACTTCGGTTTCTATTTTATTAAGAAACCTTTCAAGATATAGCAAAACACCATAGAATAAAACTTGTTCTAAATCCGTTTTTCTGCAGAAAAGTTCTCACAATCTTTTGTCTCAGATGCACAAGGAAAAACTTTTGCCCATGATTTGGAGGTCTCTCTCGCGCGGGGTATTGACGTATTGACGCGCCAGGATGCCCAGTTTTCGAATGTAAATAATTAAATATATTTTGAAAATTCTACACAGAATTTGAATTAGGTGAGCATAGTCTCTCTCTTCATTTTTTTTTGTTTGTTGTTTGTTTGATTTCTTTTTTTAAATTTTGATTTGATTACTGTGTGTTGTGTATTCCAGTATCTTTGCTTCCTCACAAGCAGCAGATGATAGTGCACAATTTTTTTCTGCATTAGGCTCTTTCCATTTCTTGCAAGTGAATTATCACCATAAAAAATAAAGCAGATTTGGATAATGTCTTACACTGAGATAACTGAGATGCATGAAATCCAATGGGGACGATGTATGTTAGCTTTGTGGGTGATTCTAACCGATTTATCGACCCAATTTTGAAGGTGGTATATGATGTATGATGCACAGCCAGTTTGGAAAAATGTATTGCTTTATTTAATTTTTTTGTGATGAGTAATACATTTATGCGGCTAGTGTCATAAGTCTCTATGAGATAAAGAATGGATCGTCTTCCATTCGTTCAATTCTCGTTCCTATCTCAGTTGTTCAGTGTAACCAGCTCTTGACTGCTATCCTGTTCAGATATTGAAATCTATAGCACCAATTCCACATAAGTCGCATTTTACTGTGGTTATGTGTTAATTATTACAACATCAACTTAAAATTTAGTTGACTGCCTTAGTTGATGAACTAGAAGCAGATATTTTAGGGAGACACAATAATGTGATGCAGACATTTGAAAAAGACATTTATGTTGGATATTTAACATGAATTTATTTTACTACTTCTGTACTGGCTTTTCGGTGAGACTTGCGGACTTCACATTTAATGGTTTACACATTAGTTGAAGTATTGTTCTTGCAAAAGAATTTGATATAATTCTGTTAAATCCTCAAAGTTGGTCAGTTTTACTGCTGTTGGTCGAGTTTTCTTCGTTTTGCTACGCTTGAAGGGTTGTGTTTGTCTGGTCTGCCAGAAATCTCGTCTCTGTCGTCTGCTGACGCCGGCTTCGGGCTGCTGCCGCTCAGACCACTACACAGCAAGCGCACTATGCTTCCATCATCATGCATCCGCCCTCCCCTCCCCGTCTGTGAGGGTGGGGGAAACCGAATCTGTTTCTGTTGCTGGCGTGCGGGCGTTCCCCGCCTGGTACGTCCCCGCAACAGACTGGCAACACGCCCAAAGTGAAAAAGTTGCTAACGCAGTAGCCTCTAGTAAATATTTTATGGCAGAGATGTTGTGACGAGACGACATCTCAATCTGGTATAATATTGAGATCGTATTTTTATGAATCGCGAGCATATTTCAAAACGAAAAAGTTAGTGAAACGTACATTACCTTTTCCAAAGTTGTGCACGAATGTATTTACTTCCGGTTATGGCAGCTATCAGCTTGCAGATCAACCCCGATAGCAGAAACCCAAAATGTTTTTAATTAAATAATTTTACAAATTATGCCGCGGAGCTAGTCACGACAGACCTACGGGATCCTGGTAATTTTGATCAATAAGCTAGCAGAGGCCCATAAAAAAAGTGAATGTTGAGGACACGGCACCGGTGTTACGGGGTGGATCAAGGCTGTCACTAGCCTAGGCCGTCCCGTCTACCGGCTGGAAAGTTACATATTTCCAAGTGCTTCTTGTCATCGAGTACGTTCAAACATTCTCATGGAATCCAAATCAATAGGTATCACTGAATTCGTGGCTGTTTGCTGTTTTAGGTGGTTTCTTATTTCAGAGGGATTTATGAATCTTGACGGGGCTTAACCTCCTTCAAATGTCATTTTACTAGAATAACTTTCTTTATCTAGTTTACTGAAGGAGAACACCTAACTTTTCCACAAACGGAGCAAAACCATCATCACAATTTAATGCACCTCTATTCCCATTGCTCCATTAAAACTCATGACCAACTGTGGTCTTCAAAATTGTGTTTTGCATTTCCTGAAGTTCTGTTTTTTCTTGTTTTCCAGGGATCTATGTGGGGCTAGGCATGACGATACCCTTCGTTTAATTACTTCCAGGTATCTTCGGTAAAGAAGTGTAAAGAATCTTTGTATTCTTAAATCATTCAATGTACCTCTCCAAAGAATGCTGAACAGTCTACCACATTTTTATGCAACTGACTCTTGAAGTTCTGAAATGAATAGCAGATTCCAGTAAATTGTGTTCCAAGTAGATATGGGTAACAAAAACAGTTGCTGTTCTTATTCAAGTCCAGCTCCAAAACGTAAAGATGATTACCAAGAAGAGCCCCACATGCCACGAGAAGGAGAAGGCAGTGTTGGAAATATTCAACATATTTCTGAACGAGAACCAGAAGATTGGGATGCTGATCCATCTTTGCATCCTACAGCTTCAACCATTTTTCTAGAGCGATCTCGAATACAAGAAAGTAATGGAACTTGCTTTTTATCAGTTTAATCATATACTTGTCATACTTATTATGCATTTGTTTGTAATCACCTTCATTTGTTTTTTGTTGTTAGATGGTCTTACAAGGAAGAAGAGTCAAAACCACGTAAGTGCCATCTAGCTTTACAATTCTTTCATTATTAACAGTGTGATGTCAATGATCTCATGGCGTCTATATTTCAGATCTTGGATGCAGGGAAACCTGGTTTGAAAAAGAGTAGTTCCTGTTCAACCATTTATCTTGATGATAGTACTGTTTCTCAGCCTAATTTAAAGAATACAGTTAAATGTGTGTCACTAGCTATTTATTACCATATTAAGCATCGTGGATCAAATCGACAACTTGATATTTTTGATGAGAAGTTGCATCCTTTAACAGTAAGTTTCTATTTAACTGAATATACTTCTTTTTACACTGTCATATTTTTTTATGTCATCAAAATATCCTTGCAGCAAGCACCTGTTCCTGATGACTATGATCAGCATAATCCTGAACATAGGCTCATTTACAAATTTGTTCGCACGTTGTTTAATGCATCTCAACTAACTGCTGAATGTGCCATCATCACATTAGTCTACCTTGAAAGGTAAGCGAGAGTTTTGAAATACCTAGTTCATGAACCTTTTTACTGTTTTAGGGGAGAATGGAGTTCCACACTTGCCCACTTCCCTATCCCTAGTGCATCAGATGGTTGGGTAATCCAAGTCATGTGGTGAGGTGGAGGAGTCCAAATGTTGCTTAAAATCCGTCTTGTGGTTTATGAATAATGCACTTTGCTGTATTAATGTAACATTTTCTGTTATAATTACATCCTTGTACCCTTCACAGGCTGCTGACTTATGCTGAAGTTGATATTTCACCAGCGAATTGGAAACGGATTGTTCTAGGAGCCATTCTTTTGGCGTCAAAAGTTTGGGATGACCAAGCAGTATGGAATGTTGACTACTGCCTTATTTTGAGAGACATTAATGTGGAAGACATGTAAGATATAAAAATTATTATTTCCAATATAGCATGTTACGTCTTTTTGGTTTATGAATACAAATATGTAATTGTCTTACAGGAATGAATTAGAACGGCAGTTTTTAGAAATGCTCCAGTTTAATATTAATGTGCCGTCAAGTGTGTATGCCAAGTATTATTTTGACCTCCGCACTTTGGCTGAAGACAACGATCTTGCATTCCCCACTGAACCTCTCAGTCGAGATAGAGCCCAAAGATTGGAAGCTATGTCTCGTGTTTGTGAAGATAAAATCACTGCCGAAGCAGTGCGCAATGGTTTAAAGAAGTGGAGAAGCTTTGAGACATTAAATGGTCAGCCTTCCAGGCGCAGTGTTGCCATTTTGTCATGATTTTGTGATGGTGCTGTGTAGGTTGTCCCTTTCTTTATTTTTAATCTCTTCCATCTTTGTTGGAGCTATTGTTTCATTTAGCTGCACTGTTTGAAAATCTATTTTTTTGTTTGATAAACAAAATCAAAAGAAATTAATACTGCTATCATTCAATACAGATGGTCATGATCTGTAGAATTTTAAATGGTTTCCACCTCACTTTGTATCTCTAGGATGTGGCTGTGTTAGATGAGCATGTGGGTGAAACAAATCAAATATCTTTTCATAAACTTTGCAAGACGTGCCGAAATTATTATACTGGTTAATTCTTGTTTCTTTTCTTTGCACATTGCAATAGGTTCTTGCTTTGTTACCATGCTGTGTCTATTCCTTTAGAAATTGGCCATAGTTTTCCTAATTTCTGACTGACTAAATTCACCTTTCCGCATCTTTCCTGGGACTGAATTGTGTATCTTGTATAGTATTGGGTACTCATACCCAATATTTGTACTGGTTTGTGTTAGACTGATCAAAGTGTCATATTGAATTTTTTTTTCCTGTCATCTTTTTTGGTATATGTCTACATTCTGACTGGTGTTCTCCCTAAATATTTATTACCTTGTAAGACATGTTTATTATGAATTTTTATATCTGTAAGTGATGTCTGAACCAACATTGTTTATGAACAGCCTAGATGAAGAGTTTTCAATCAATCATGGTAACAAGTAATCTAACACACATGTGATTAATACATAATGCCAAACTTACTATGAAATAATTTCAAATAACCTTGAGACTATGTTTGGCTATGCATTTAAAGGAATGTTTCCAATCCCATTTAAAAAAGGAACTGAAAGGTATACTAACAATTTTACTCATTCGTGGGTACTGAAAACCTCTGATTGTAAGATGCATGCAGATTTTTTAAGTTATTGACAATTGTTCTCTGCTGCTTCTTTTAATGGATGAAAAGATGCACCTTATGATCAGAGTTTTACTGTATTATTATTACTCTTATTATATTTGTATGTGTACTGTTTCTTAAATTTGTTTATTGTTAGTTTCACCTCTTACTATTAAGTGTTTGTTCCAGTAGATTGTAGGTCATTGTTTTCCTGTGAATGAATTTTGATTTACCAAACCCCATCAGTTGTATTCTTAGTCTTTTAGCTGACTTAGAAGTGCTTTGTAAGTCTGTATTTGTGTCTGACATTAACTTTGTTGTTTTAACTTTGTTCTGATATCTAGAAACACTACAACACAGCTCAATAGTTGTTTTAATTTTAAAACTTTCATTGCTTCCTAGAAAGTATAGCAAAAGCAAATTTATTTTTATATGGCTGTAGATTTGTGTAATTTTGAACTGATCAGATTGCATATTCATATTCCTTATTACTTCCTTTGAACTAATCATTGAAACTGTTTGTCCTCTGCTTCCTGTCTGTACCAAATTTGTCGTTTCTTAGTCTGTTTGGGGTTGCCTAAAACTCTGTTTTTTTTCCCCTATGTTTAAAGGTAACAGTGCAGGTTATTTTAAGTTTTTCTTTCTTCATTTACAACTGTGTATACCATATATTTAAAGTAATGCCTTGTTTCATGATTTGTTAAAGATTGGCCACTGTAGTGATGAGTACAGATGTTATTTTTTTTGTGTGGGTTTTCCTGAAGAAATAAAGTGACATCTACTCCTTTGAATGGTACATAGTGACCGCATTTACCCAATTTGATAATAATTCTTTTCACTCCTGCATTGCAATATTACCTAGGGTTTGGTTTGCCCGGTTGAGACGGGTGCTGGGAGTGCTGAGGCACAGTCGAAACGCTGAGTTGTATGATCACTTACATGGAGCAGAAGACTTGCGTAGACGACTCAGGCTTTAACATATTTGACTCAATGTTCAATCATCGAAATTGTCATACATATTGTGGTTTTCCAAGTGGCTAAAGACTCTAAATCCAATTTCAATAGAATCAATAGGTACTTTGTCAACAGTGTGGAAAACAAGTCAGGATTTAGGTGCTCCCTTCCAATCAACCACCTCAATACCACCCAGCATTCCCCACACCCGTCTTAAGTGGCTGAACCAGTGTAGCAACCAGGGACCACAGACGGACAAGCTTTGGGTTTAGGCCAATTCTTTGAAGGTACCATTAATTGTTTTACATTAAACAAGAACAATTTACATACATCATAACTTTATTTTATACCTGTACAATCTAAATTTCTGTGCAGACAGAAGATAAGCAAGCTTTTGAATAATTATAATACATTGCTTGTAGCAGAGCCTTCATGGGATACCAGTTTATTTTGACATTTTGAAAACGTAAAGAACTCATAAAACTGTACATCAACCATAAACTCTAATTTGTACACCTAGATAAAGAACATAAAAACAATAATTTAAAAAAACCGAGAGAAGATTGTACGGATTATATCTTGCCTGATATGATACAAGAAAGAAGGGAATTACAGAGTTAAACTATTACCCAAAAAGGCTGCTATGCACATAAGTTTCTTTTTTTTTTTCTTAAAAAAAAATGGCATGTTGTAAAGAGAAGATTTATGTCTGTCCTGCAGATCTTTGCTCTCCTTCAACATCCAAAGAAAGACAATATAAAAGACAATTGCAAAAGACAATGTGCTGTATAGCTGGGTGGGAAGAATCACAGCATTTGAAAAATGCCAGAAATTGGTTAGATAATCCATCATGTTTACACAAGTGGATTTATGAAACATCACATGAGGCTCTTGACTCACTGGTGCATCCAGATGATTTTAAGACAAAAGCAAATTATAAAGTTTGGTCTTCATACAGAATGTACTACTAAATGGGTGAAAACAACAATATCGCAACCAGTAATGGGGGGAATGGAATCAGTTAAGGACTTTCCCTTACTCTGTATAATATATAATATTTATATATATATAATATATATATATTATATATATGCATGTATATATAAAAATCTCACACACTCAAATTCACAAGAACGCATCCATTCACACCAGCGGAATAAATGAAGGTGAACATTATTAACCAAATGCAACATAATGACAAAATTTAGGTGGAAAACTAAGCTTGGTTTTTAAAAATTTATTTTGCCAGCCTTAGATGCAGAGGCCACTTTCATTTTCCACCAAAGCAGACTGCATCTAAATCTCAGTACGGTTCATGGCCATGCTTGGGACTAAATTTGATGATGCGGAACATTAACCTGAGTGAAGTGTTTTGCAAACAGTCAGGTTGATCAGCCTTATTTTTGCCTGGTGCAAATGATTTCTTACAAATAGTGCTACAGCTTGTTACTCCTATCAACAGAAGCTGCACCAAATCTGATAAAACTTACAGACAATAACGGTGAAGAACAAAGTTGATGAACAATCCCAAACAGTACCCCTGCTTGCTCCATGCTAGCATAGTCAACTCAATCATCTCACTATTCCATTAACAATAAATTAAAAACCAATAAAGTATGAAAAAAGGGTACCATCAAAGTGACACTTGAGAGAATCACAAAACTCATCAAGGGACACTACGATGCATGTATCAAAATAACATCACTTCATAAGAAAATGCAGAATCCTTGCATCTATTGGTAATATACAATGGACAGGGCAAGTGCCAAGTACAATAAATCTGCATCATTGCAAGTTCTTTTGGGTGCACATTAATTATTTTTCTTTCACAGCTGAAAATCCCAGGTGACTAAAATTCTGGCTTACAGGGACAAAAATGAGAACAATCCAAAATATTACTGAACACGGTTTTAAAAATACATAGTTCTCAGTGGCTGCATACCTCTTCACTTAAAATTTCACAATTTAACCAATAATGAGTATGGTAAGTTTAGTAATCATTCTAACCTCAACATCACTATTCACACAGTACACAGAAAAAAATGCACTAGAAAATTGCTGTTGGCACTTAAGCCAGTCTCTTTTAAAAACTGTATGACAGCCCACCAGAGCAGGGGGCTTGATGAAAGGTAGCAGCTGAGGGCAACGGCAGATCAGGACTTCACTTATTCACATGGCCATCCATTGGAATTCATTGTCAGTCATTGTTCCATTCTTAAATTTGTTCCGAGCTGAGCAAGCGGCCAATTGAAGTGCCTCACTAGTGCCTCCACAGAGCATACCTGAACGAAAATACAATGAGAACCCTAAACCACACAAATGTTTAACACTTTCAGGAAAATTAATAGAATATTTACCTTATAAAACTGGCAAAAAGTGTGACTTAAAAGCCCAGAATCACTTGCAGCAGTTACCCGCTGCCTTGGGAGAGCCATCCAATTCCTGAAGGCGCCTGCCTTGGTTTGTGGAGCCAGCTCCAGATGCCTGTTCGTTTTTAGGCAATTTCTTTGCTACGATAGGAAAGAAGAAAACATAATGGAAAATTGTAAGGCTTAATCGACATTGAACAATAGAAGACCAACAGCTTTCATTTCAAGTATTTTAGAAACTAAGCCATTAACTTACCAATCGCAAGAAAGATCTCATTCACATTCTTTGCAGTTTTTGCAGATGTTTCCATGAACAAAAGCCCATTTTCATCTGCATACGTTTGGGCCTCCTCACACTCAACTGCCCTTGAGTTGGCAAGATCTGCTTTATTGCCTGCTAGAGCGATTACAATATTGGGAGATGCCTGTCTCTGAAGTTCTTTTACCCAGACCTTGGCACGTCCAAACGAATCCTGAACCACACATAAACACAAATCATTAGTATAATCACGATAAATTGATATTTCAAACAGCAGAAAATATGAGAACATCTCACCATATTAGTGATGTCATATACAATAATGGCGGCTTGGGCTCCACGGTAGTACATGGGAGCCAAGCTATGATATCGCTCTTGCCCCGCTGTATCCCAAATTTCAAACTTAACTGTTGTATCTTCGAGACACACGGTTTGCGTTAAGAAAGCAGCTGTAAAATAAGGATAATTTAAGGAATAGTTTTCATCCTCAAAACAGGATACATCTTACAATGTTGAATCTCAAAATTGATACTCACCACCTATTGTGCTCTCCTGATATTCGTGAAATTGACCCTTGACAAACCTTAAAACTAAGCTTGATTTCCCCACAGCTGATTCACCAAGGAGAACCAGTTTGAACTGGCATATTTTGCCTTGTGTCTGCGGGTTAGGCCGCTGGGCTGGTCCACCTCGGTTAGCCATGATTCACACTGTAAGGAAAACAGGGTAGAACAAATCTATTAATGTCAAGAGAAGCTGAATAAGAAAAGTAAATGAAATCTATTGTATAGCTTTCAATACGTTTAATACAAAACATTGATTCAGCCAATATACATAGGACAACTTAGTGGCTAAAAAATAATCCAGTGACAGCCATGCTTCATTTGGCACATATGAGTGCATCCATGAACAAAGATATTGAGGACATTTAATAGATCCCTGATTGTGAAGAAAATGTATGAACACAAGATGCAGCAGAGAAAGACATGTCAACTGTCACAGAGCTAACTCAATATTTTTTCAAATGACAAAATGAAGCAAAAGTTGCACATGAGCAAGCTAGCCTCTGTACACTTGATAAGGACCAAATTTACGACTTTTTGAACGACAGATACAGAGTAGCATGAACTGGGGTCGCGCACAGGTGCAATCGGGGCTGGTCTAGCCTGTAAACAAGTGCACCGACTGGTCAACACTTTCTGGGTCAGCGAGTGCCTCTCTCTCCTCCGCGACACCAAACACTAGCCACTAGAGCCGCACGGACGGAGACACCGTTCCGTCGAGCCTCAAATGCAACCCTTCCCTTCGTCAAGTTCCGCTTTGCATCAGCTGACTGCACAATACTCGGCCATACCGAAGTCGTTCCATACACCGTACACATACACAGGGGCCAGCCAATCTGACAGATAGCGTAAGCCTAAACCGCTCCTCGGCCAACTCAGACAAAGGGCTGACCCGGCAAGGACGGCGGCCCCTAAACGCCCCCCGGTGGTCACTGTGCTTGGCTCCACAAACCAGCGCAATTCGCTCTCAAGTTGACACTCGGACTTCGGCAGGGTCGTACAGAGATATGCTCCTCTTAGGCCTAACCTAGGCCACAGTCACTCATTGTTAATACGCGACCCTTCTCCGTCACTTTGATCGCGAAGCCACGTACCCGACAAAATTTAAGCGTTCCAGTCGTCGAGTTGGAGTTTCCTTGAAGCAAATTTACTCAATTCCGAGATGTGGTGGTGGTGGACAACTTGAAATCACTGGCTAAACAAGGCCTTGATGACTTCGCACACACAGGAAAGGATCGCACGCAGCAGTACAGCGAGCGACAGCGCTGCTGCTGGCAGAGCGGCTGGCAGCGAAACTCCCCGTCCACGACCACAAAAATAATGTACTCCTCCGCCGGCACCTTATTTTCGTTTAGCCTGTCCTCTTTACTTCGAATAGAGTAGCTCCCAGGGGCATCGTGATAGAGACGCGGAGCTAATGGGTTAAAATTCGGGCCGGAAATGACAAGTTGTCTCCAAGTTTAGGGGCAAACTAGTGGGATCTATATCGCGCGGTGCCGGCGGAGTGGTAGTTCTCGCCTTTGCGTTACGTCATACGAGAAACCGCGAAATTCAATCGGAGACGCGAATCGAAATAGCGACAGAGGGAAAACCCGAAATGTGGCATTTCGGACGCTTCCAATGATTTACGAGCTGATTGCTTTGGTCCTGTTTCTTTTTGTCTTTCCATCAGTATTGAGAGACGGTTGTGGCATGGTTGGGGATTGTGTGTGGGGGGGGGGATAATACTCAACAGAGCTCATTTTATGTTTTCAAATATAAATTTTATTTGTGTTTCTGATTCTTTTATCCAGCAGCGTGCTACAAATTGTTAGGTTGAGAGTTTTTCAAGTTCAAAAACTTACAAATTTGAAAGCAACCAGAACTCATTAGTAATCCTTACAATGAGAGGTAAATTTCAAACATTCAAAAGTTAAAATATTATCTTAAACTATGAAAAAAAAATAAAAAAGGATTTCAGTCAAGTGTGCACTTCAAAAATCAGCGCATGAAATTCAAACAGACGACTTACTACATTAAAAACAACAATACCATTAAATAGAGACAATATTATTATCGGGAAAATCGTAAAATAAGATATTATTTTCCCTCAAAAAATTAGAGAGGATTGGTCAGAACTTCCCAATTATAGTTATCCAGTAGTTACAGGCAATCGGAATGCAAAAGGTTAATAAATAAGTGTTCCAAAGGAAACTGGGGAGAGGGCAACTGGTCCGGGCCATGGCAGTAAATTAGTTACAAAAACGGCAAAAAGTGACCAAGTTGCAACAGAAACTCAAGAGATCGTGACACATATCACAAGAACGACGTCAGTATGAACAGAATAAAATGCACGTCTCTTCACAGTGGACGACGCCATCGGAGAGACTGGGTTTGTCGGTCAGTGGCGGTGCACCGCATGCGGACGCGGCCTGCGAGCGTTCAAGATGAACGCCGTCGCCCCGGACGGTGTGAGCTGCGAGAGGTGGTGCGGCGCCACCACGCCGGGGACGCCGACGACGCCGACGGGGGTGTGGGGCGTGGCGGCGGGCGCGGGAGGGGTGGCCGAGCGGCCCAGCCAGCAGAGGCGGGCCTGGGGAGCGGGACTGCACGACGCAGTGGCGACCCCCGTGCCACCCGTCAGCACCGACGACGAGCGGGGCGGCGACGCCTGCAGGCTCTGCAACAAATCGGAAGTCAGCTCAACTGAGGCCGACGAGCTGCCAAACGAAAACGGAATCAGTCTCTAGCAGGGCGGCGCGGTAGACAGACAGACTCGCAACGCGCATTGACAGGAACCACGGCCTGCGTCCATTATCTGGCACTACTCGGGGGCGGAGTGGAGCAGCCGCGACAGACACACTTATGGCAGGCAGGATCCGGGCGGGGGAGGAGGAGGAATAGGAGGAGGAGAGGCAGGCGGACGGACGGACGGACAGACAGACAGGCAGACAGACGACGCACAGACATCCTGCCCCGCGGCCCCGCAGCATCACGAACTGGCGGCGCCCCGGCGGCCTGGCCTAGCCGGCCTAGCGCACGCGTGGTAAGCAATAAGCAACAGATTAATCGCGCGTCCACGGCGGCGACGGCGGCGTTTCAGTTTCGGGCGGCCTGCACAGTGCTGCTGATAGAGACCGACGCCACTCGACACCGGCAGGCAAGCCGGCAGCGCGCAGCGGCGTGGAGTCGCGGTGGAGGCGTGGTGGAGTGCGCGGCGGCGCGGTGGGGCGGGAGGGGCCGGCCCGGAATCGCGAACAGCGGATTGATGGACGGCCCCTCCGCGGGCCGCTTGTCCCGTGGGGTGATAAGCGGCCAGAGAAAGTAAATCGGACTGGATGAATGCAGAATGCAATGCGCACGATGCGCACGCTGCGCACACGGTGAGCGAGCCTTTGCAGCACGGCGGCACGGCACGGACCAGCACGCACGGTCAGGGCCAAGCCAACGCGTACTTATCACCCAGGCGCGAAAAACAGCAGCGGGGGCGTCCGAGGTGCGACGGCCAGTCAACGAGTGGAGGGGCGACGAGGGTGGGCTGGCTGGGCCTGCCCGGGCTGGGCCGCCTGGGCAACGGCCTCTGCTCGTCGGGCCCGCGGCTCGTCCGTCTCGTCCCGCGGTGAGGGGCGCCACTCAAGCCTTGGCCGTCCAGCCGGCCTTCACGCCGCCCGCCAGCGCGCCTGCCATGCGCCGGGTAGGCAACCCCCTCGCAGCAGTGCCAGCGCGTTGCCTACCCGGCCACCTGACAGGGGCTCTTGCAGCTCTGCAGCGCGATGACGACGCTTCCAGCGCAGTCGCTCTGTGACGACTGCGCTGGGTTGCGCGACAGAGGCCGCGACGCGCGAGGCAGTGCTCCACGGTGCGAAATTTCAATCACAATCGGGCGAAGGCTGAACGGCGGTACGGTGTACCCTCGGGTGTACCGCCATGTTGCGCAACGCATGGTCACACATACCCAGAAGCCCGAGTCGCACAGGTCGGCGTGGTCGCTGTAGTCCCAGGGCGCCAGGCCCAACGCTCCCTCGGGGCCCTCGGGGCTGGCCGTGTGGCGGGCGTGGGGGTTACCGCCCCTGCCACTGCTGCTGCTGCCGCTGCTGCTGGCGCGGCTCGCGCGCCCGAGGCTCCCCGCCGGCCCCAAGAGAGCCCCCGTCCAGGATCGCCGCGGCGTCGGCAGTGACCTGCACACACGTCGAGGCACACGCCTCTGAGGGCGACTCGAAAAGAAATACGGTTACAGACCGAAACAAACAGTGCTTACCTCTTGGCGCTGCCAGCTCGGAGATCGCGGACGTCGTACAACCCCTTCCGCGCTGCAGCCAACGCACCGCCTGAAGCAACAAGGAGCGAAACGCGAGTCGGTGACGTGGTGCCGACGTGGAGCTACAGGTTACTGAGTCAGAGGGCGAGGACAGCTCACCGGTGTCTGGGTCGTCTTCCAGGGACGCCGAAATGCCGGCCAGGCAGCGCGCCGACTCCACGTACTGCTCCTGCAACTGTGCAAAAGGCAAAAGTTAGTCTGCGTGAGTAACCACAGCGCCACCGCCGACGCCAATGGCCAGGCCGAGGCCCAGGCGGCCAGGCTCTCGACAAGGCATACCTGGGACGCCAGCGCCGCGTTGTGCGCCCGCAGCTGCCCCAGCTGGTCCCGAAGCTGCTGGTTCTCCTCCAAGACGCCCTGCAGTTGGCCCTGCGAACAAGGGAGACGGTGGTGAGGGCAGTGACTCCCTCGGCCCGGCTCGGCCCCGCAACGCTGGGCGGCGCAGGGCGTTGGCGTTGGCACAGCACGCTGGCTGTGTTTACAGTGCAGCTGGCACCGGGCCAACACATCCTGCTTGGCGCCGCGCGCGCCGCGCGGACCTGCGGGGACCACAGCACGTGCACGCAGTACTCCTCCAGCTTGCGCGCGCGCAGACGCCACCGATCCGCGCCTGCCGCCGCGAGGCCTTCGCCGAGGCGGCGCAGGTGGCGCAGCTCGTCCAGGTAGCGGTGCCGCAGCCGGTCCAGGTCCAGGTCGCGCAGCTGCGCCTCCAGCTCGAAGCCGCAGAGCACGCTGAGGACGAGGCGGTGTGCCTCCGCCTCGCTGCCGCGCAGCCGCAGCACCTCCATGCCCAGGGCGTCCACCTCGTCGGCGCGCCCGGCCAGCTCCTGCTCCAGCCAGCTGCAAAGCGGTGGGCAGGCGACCGTCACCGTCAGGCTGGACGTGGCCGGGCAAGCCGCGCAAGGCCTGAGGCCCTAGACGCACCTGACGCGGCGCTCCACGGACACGCGCAGCTGCCTCTCGGCGAGCTCGGTCAGCGCGCGCACCTCGCTCTTCGCCGGGGCCGTCGCCGAGGCCGTGTCGGGGGCCGCGGGGGCGGTCTGCGTGGCCGAGTCGGCCGTGGGGGCGTGGCGGCGCGGTCGCAGGATCATCGAGACCGTGTCGTGGCCGACCTCGGACACGCTGAGCGCGCCGCGCACGGCCGACTCAATCGCCCTCACCGCCGAGTCGGCCTCGACGTAGCCCTGCAGGCAGTCCTGCAGGCGCGCCACCTCGCCCTGGAGCTGCGCCACCTCGGCCCGCAGCTCGGCCTCCACGGCCTCCACCTCCAGCTTGCGGTGGGGATCGGGCGCGTCCGGGGCGATGCCGATGAGGCCTTGCATCTGGGGCGCCACGTAGATCTCCTGCACGGTGATGCGGCCGGGGCAGAGGTCTAGCAAGCCGTCGATACCGCCCTTGGCGTCCGAGTCTTGCGACGTGGACAGCTCTGACGCGGACAGCAAGTCCGGCCTGGCCTCGGCCTCGGCGTCGTCGGCGCTGGTCGTGTTGCTGAGCGCGGCGTGCGGCGCCACGGGCCTGGTGGCGGTGGCCGCCGCGCCGGCGCGCCTCACCGACCTGGGGGGCGGACGGCGAGCTGAATCGGCTGGAGCCGACACTAGAAGCGAACACTCCGCGGGCGCGGCGCGGCGCGTCGTGTCGCGTAGGGAAGGCACCGTGACTCCGGGAGGTGCGTCACGCACAGTCACGCACCGCCACCTGCTGCCAGCGTCGCCTCGCCAGTCGGTACCGGCTGAGTCATCGCGTTCCGTCCCTCACCGCCGTGAAATGCGCGGTCTACCGGCCTACCGGTGTTAGTGGTACCCTTCCGCTCCGCCTCGACTTTCGCCATCGCGCCAGGCGGCGGCTCGCGCCTCGCAGTGTCGCTGCTGCCGCGGTCCCTAGCAAAGATCGTCAACGGGTGGATCGCGTTGGATCGTGCTCGCCAACGTCGGTCCGAGTCGGTCCCGAGCCAAGCCCTGGCGGGCGTGGGTCCGGCCGGCGACTGGCCCAGCTTCGAATCCCGGCAGAAGCCTGCATTTTTGTCGGTCTCTGGTACCTTTCAGGTTCTTGAAAAAGAATATCCACGGTATTTATATATGCCGTGAAATGTTAGTTGCGGTTGCAGCTCTGAAATCGCGAAAAAAAATTGAAGCGCCGCCGGGACTCGAAGCTGGTCAACGGTTTGGGCCAAAACCGGCGCTTCGGTTTGGTTCCGAACCGACCCGAACCGACGTTCGCGAGCACGATCCATCGCGATCCACCCGTTGACGATCTTTGGTCCCTAGCCCGCAGGTGCACCGGATACCGACAGAGTACGCCTCGCAACGGCGGGCGGGGCTGGGCCGAGATAAGCTGCCGACTGATTCCGAGAGTCGTTTCCATCGCTCTGTCTCTCTCGCACCTATACGGGACGGCCCATGCTCCTGTGAAATAGAACTCCTTCGGGAAGTTAGCACAACCAACCAGCTATGAATATGCAGCAGCGAAAGCTACCACCTGTGCAACCAGCCCATCTGAGTTACGGATGTGAAACCACCCCAAAGGCTCCCAGTTGGAAACCCAAATTTGAACTCCAACAAATGAGTGCGAGAGAGACTTAGCAAACGACTCTCGGAATCAGCCTGCAGAGCAATATTTTCCCTGCAAACAGCGTCAGCGTCACGGCCCAGAAGTACCTGACCGTGCGCGGAGGGGCCCTGGCGCGACCGGCGCGGCCCGCGCTCGTCGCCGCGTTCATCGCCGTGCTCACGCCCGCCGCAGTCTGGTCCCGGTCCCGGTCTCTCCGCCGCTCGCGCTCGCACGCGCACTTGGGACTCGGGGGCGGCGGGGGCTCGCGGGGCTCGGCCTCGCGAGGCAGGGGCGTCTTCACGAAGCTCCTGTCCCCGATGAAGAGATTTAGATGGCGGTGGACACGAAGGCAGTGCCGCGTGAGGCCCTAGCGCCCTAGCCAGGCCCTGGCCTTGCCTGCACGCTTCGCAGCGCGCCACGTTGCGCAGCGCACGGGTCTTCTTCTCCAGCTCCTGCTTCCGCCGCCGCTCGGCACTCTCGCGCACCCGCTGGTACTGCGTCCGCGCGCCCGCCGCTGCGGCCAGCGCCGCCGGCCCGTGTACCCGGCACCGCCGCGCGCTCCACTCCGTCACGCCCGCCACGCCGGACACGCTCCTCTCGGGGACGGCCGCGGCGGAGGACGCCATCGACACCTCCGCGTCGGCCGCCTGGACAAGTGCCGCAGTCAGGCCGAGTGCGGAGAGGCGAACCCGCCGGTGACGGTCTTCGCCAGCCTTGACCAAGGCCTTGACGTACCTGCGATTCGCAACGTGGGGGCTCCGGGAACGGCTTGGGGTCCCGCTCACGATCGCGGTCCTGGTGGCGGTCCTGGTGCCGGTCCTGGTCGCGGGACTTGGTGCTGCCTTCGTCGGTGCTGCCGGACTCGCAGTCCTTGCCGGCGTTGTCCGCGGCCTCGGCCTCGCCGACGTCGCTCCCAGCCGCGTCTCTTCTCCGTCTCCTTCCGGCCTCGACTAGCAGCAGTCCCATGGCGGCCTGTCGCACGGCAGTCCACTTGAATCAGGTGTTTTTAAGACACCGCACGTGGCCCTCCAGCTTCAGGTTCAAAAGTTACCTCTATTCTCGCTTCCCGCTTCTGGCTGTCCTCTGACTCTGAAGACTCACACCATTGCAGGCCAGCCCAGTAGTCCTGGCGGACAAGGGTTGTGTGTAACTGGTTTTCCGTTTACCTATTCACGGTCAGGACGGTGGTAGGCAATCCCGCCACACTGCGTGACACTGCGTGACAGCTTACCTTGTCCTGCTGATCGATGTCTGCCAGGGACCTCGCTGCCCGCTCCCACTTCTCGCGGAATTCCCTCAGCTCCCGCAGCTCTACCTGTTCATCACTCATTTCCATGCGCGCTTGTGTTTCTTTCAGTTGAGTTTGTAAAGATTCCAACCGTGATTTGAACTGGCATATCTGTTGAGAATAATTTTCCAGCCTTCCCTGGAGCTCTTCTGTTTCAGATTCAGCTATGTGTCTTCCCTGCTCAGCCTTCCAGACCTACGAAACAGGTATAACATTTCTCAACAAAGATTGGACGGAATGAGAAAACAAAACAATATGTTAAAAAGATCGGCTTTGCAAACCTGCTCTTTGAGCCGACAGATCTGTAAACTCTGAGCCTGGCACTGTCTTCGAAACACCTCAGCCTCCCGCTGGAATATTGAAATTTATGATTTTAAAAATATTATTAGTTACTTAAAGGGTCTAAAACAATGGGCAATAATGACAGGTGACAGGATGTATTTTCTTTTGCAATGCACTTGTTAGCTGTAAGAACCTCGGTACTTATAGATAGTTGGAATAAAAATGCCATATAATTTAAACATGATGGTGTGATTAAACTTTAAACTTAATCATGTTATCGCAGTAAAATATTTAATCTGGGAGGTAAATGTTGGTAAGTGGAGAGATTGGGTGGTGAGGGTTGAGGTACAGCATCTTCATAATACCTGAGAAGAATTAACAGTTGATAGGGCTTCACGCTTGACATTTTCTGCGTGCAAACGCAGATCTTGATAAGCTTCACGCAGGTCTCGGTACCAACGTGTTTGCCGCGACACCTCAAAACACAATGAGATCAACGCATGGCACTTGGGCTTCGAGGAATCACCCCTTACAATGCCTCTAAAAGTCATCACAGACAATGATTCTTAACTAGCAACAGAATGGCAGCTCACCTCTGAGAAACAGTCTCGATACTGCACCAGCATTTCACTAAGGTCTAACTTGAGGTCACGGACAACTTGCCATTGCTGTTGGAAAAGACAGCCTTAGCAGTCTCAGAATCATGTGAGAAAGTGGGTAATGCAATTGTTATCGAGGCTGAATAAACAGCCCGCTCAGTAGTATTAGCATTAATATCTTAATAACATGCACAACCAGCATGCTCATGCAGAGACTAAATGAGCAATCAGCAGAAATTGATGATCAAGGAAAAAATCACCTGAAAATCAAATTTTGCTGGATAAGGCTTCTTTGACAGCAGAAACCGTGAAAATATATTATTTCTTGGCGAGCTCTCATAGGTGATGGGGCAAATTAATGAATGGAAATTACATTCACATAATATAAAGTACAAGTTTCATTTATTAAATGTAATAGATTTGATTTAAAGATTTGACAGTACACAAACCACTGTGAAGAATACACTTTTGTGTTTACTACATAGGCTTTGGGACCCCTGTGGTTCATGCAGAAAATGTACTATACAATAAGCATGAGTAACAAAGGAACACAAACTCTTTGCCTCAATAATGAAGCAGAAATATGAGTCCATGGCATTCTGACAACACACAATATCATAGGTACCAGAAAATTACAAAAACTATGAGAACATAGCCTGGTTTAGAATCGTCCTCCAATCAAAAATTATCAGACAAATTCATGACATTTACACAAAACTAAGAATAAAGCTATAAGTACAGTAACATATGGTCAATGTAAAACCAATTGAGCATTCATATTGTAATGTACTACTGTAGTCAGCTGGGTGGGACATTTCAAAAATTGTATGGCAACATCAGAAATTAATAAGATATCTATAAGCAACATTTAAGCACTCAACACAAAGAAATAAAGCCCAAGTACCAATGTGATTCAAAAAATATCACAGACAAGCATTCACCATTTTAAAATGAATAACCATCAAGGATTCTAAGAATGTGCAAAATAGTTTAAGAAGCTCAGCATAATTAATAATAATAAGAATAGTGACATTCAAAGAATTAAGAACTGTCTGAACAAAACTCGTTTGTACATAGTTTTGAAAAACCCCTCCTTTCAGTACCAAACCCATTTACAAAACTTCATTGAAGTTAACATGAACAATTGGACACTCAGTAATAGGGTAATGCTTACAAAAAAAGATTGGACCAGGGTTGTTGAAATTTATAATCTGAGAACATATTACTAAAAAACAAATTGCATTAAGATAACAATAAATTAATATGAATATCATAACAACTTTAAGATGAAAGATAAGAAGAACTTGAGTTTGATGCGGGAAAATTCCTAGGACCACCTCTTATCTTCCTGAAATTGATTGAAAACTGATCGTAAAAAACAAAAATCATAACATAGCTCTCAAGCCTTAAAAACTATTTGTGAAAAACAACCAAGCAAGATAATAATAAATAATAATAAATTACTAGGAATATACAATAAGGAACTCAACATGCGCAATGGGAAATTATGACATAACACTCAATTACAAGGTTCAAAAAGAAGTACAGTAAAAGCATTAAGATCTAGAATAGCAACTCAAATGAGCTACTGTATAGTCCAATAGAAATGAAAACATTTATAATTTGATCTACTATGCTGAGGCAAGAGAAATGGAACTTCAAGGCAAGCTTCAAACAAGCCATAGAAAAAGTTAGAGAAAGAAACAATGCATTGAAAATGAATTGAGGACACACTGTTACCCACAATACAAATGTTCAGAGGCTTAGGTTAGGCATCTTTAGTGTTGTTAACAGTTTGAAAGTAAGAATAGAGATGCAAAACACACAAAACCATTAAGATGTTAAAGAAAACAAAATAAAATGAAACAGGATTACATGGATGATTCACAAGGGAACAAAATCCTTGGTAGGGCTAATATTATAACTATTATTTAAGTACACTAACTCAAAAACAGTGTAGAGGAAGAGTAATATAACAAAACAAAAAAACACAGAAAGGCGCTACAAAGGGGTAGGTTATAAGAATCACCACTTCAGTCGATTTGAAATTGTATGAATTTACATTACCAATAACAATTTAAGTATCACTAGTGAAACCAATGGAATCCAGCCCCAAATCTGTCAATGGCAATAACCATTCACAAATTGAAAGCACTTTATCACCTCACAAATGAAGTGATATCATCAAGTTGAAGTGAGTAAATCCACAGAAGTGGTGTGTGAGGATGGGGGCACTAACTCACACATCATGCACACGGTGCTTCCTAGCGGCTGTGTTGCGGGTCCAGCCCCACACACCGCTGCTGCCACTCACTTCATCAGGCACTCCACTGGCGGTTCCTGCAGCCTCATCTTGATCTGATTTTTCTACCGAGGAACTGGAAGGGCCCTGCAAAAGATTCACCTTCAGTCATGGAAATTCGTGTAGCACAAACTTGATGGAGCAAACAATAATTTAAGTAAATAAACCTTTCTTCATCATAAGAAGTTTGAGAACAGCATGCAAAATAATGAAAAAATTGATCTTACCGTTTTCTTTTTTCCATTCTTCCAAGGAAGAGCAAAGGGGCTTTTACTCACACTTTTGTCTTTCAGCATTTTCATCTCCTCACGGGTGCGATCTAATGTATCTTGTAGAATATTTATCATTTCTTCCTTGTTTGATAACTGTAAAAATAAAATAGGTTAAAAAAAACTAAAAGGAACAGGCTAAAGCTTCTGAATCACTCCAGATTTTCCTAATACTAAATATATTACCATAGTTTCTTTAGCTTGTAAATTCAAAGCCACTGAGTTGAGCTGAGAACTCAACTTTTCTGCTTGATCCGATGAATCTTTGAGCCTTCTTTCATACTGCTCAATGAGAGCCTGCTTGCTGCTCAGGGTCGACAGTTGATTGCGTACTCTAGCTAATTCTGACTGGAGCTCTGCAACTTGTAATGGCCCAGAATTTGATTGTTGCTCCAATAAATTCTTTATACTGTCTCTTTCTCTAATCTGCAAAAATCATAGATATTCAAGGACCTCCAAATAGCCAAATTATTCATATAATTATAAAATCTTCACTTACTGTCCGTTCATAATCTGACTGGAGATCTCTTATTTGACGTCTGGTACTGTCAAGAGCTCCTTGAAGTTCATTTATTGTTTGATCCTTGGTGTGTAATAGCTCATCAGTAAATGATCTTCTTGAAATTTGTTCTTTCATTTTCTCAACTTCTCGTAACTTAAAAGATATAACAAATATGTAAGACATGTTGAAAAGAAAATCCAACACACAGACTAGGAATCCTTAACCAACTTACACACTGGGCAGCTTTTTCTTCAGCATCGCGCTTCTGGTGCTCCATTATAGTCAGATTGCTTAGAAGTTCAGCATTGCTTTCTTCCAAGCGTTCTACTTGTTTTAAACAGCTGCTATTGTCACTGTCTCTACAGCTATGATAGGAAGATCCATCTGAAAACTCTCTCTGGCTGAGTCTGTCCGCCTGAAAATTTAAGAGACAAAAAGTTTTATTACATTAGACCAGAAAATAAATTTTGACCCATTTATGAGAAATGTCTTGGCAGGACAAACAACACTTATTTCAAGGCGCAATTTTAAATTTCACACAAAAGTGAAGCCACTGCAGCCCTGCTTTGGTATAAAGTATGACAAGCCCTCTCACCGACAGGAGCCAAGTCGATAGAAACATAGCTACACATTCGGAACGGCACGGACCGAAAGAGGCAACCTTTGAACGCTCTCCTCTGGGGACGGGCACACACACGCACTGCCCTAGCGAATTAGGGTCGCGCTGCAGCTGCACACGTTGTCAGTGCATTCAACCGGAAAGGTGGGAAGCGGGACACGGGGATGCGGCACGGGGAGCGGCACGGGGACGCGCGGCGAGGCGCACGGGCACACTGTCACCTGCGGCTTCGGCGCCGGAACCGCACGCACGAGGCGACGCTACGCGACGCGCGGCCCGCGGCGTGGCGCGTGTTTATTCATAGACCGCGTGGCGGACTGGCGGGAAGGACCAGGGCGCGGGGCGGCGCGGGGCGCAACGCGGTGCAGGAACCAGGCACGCTGCACCAGTGGCGTGGCACGGCACACGGCGTGGCACGCGACGTGCAGGGACTGCGGCAGAGAGGACGGGGCACCGCTAGTGGGGTGGCCTGGCCGATCCAAACTGCACTTCATGACCATGGGCTGGAATTTTTTTTGGGTGTTCTGGGGACCCACCTGAACACTTTTGCCCGCAGAGGCATTTCGATTTCGCGTGCAGAGCCAAGATGGCGGCCGTTTTAACGCAAAATTGAACACTTTTGACTTGGATGCGTTTGATCCTATAGCTTCCCTCATTCTTATCCGATTTTCACGATCCAAGAATTGATTCCCACCAAGTAAGGTCCAAGGAAGACGATGCCGTTGACAGATTCACGATATCTCGACAAGTTTTGGAGCAGTAACGTGTCAAAAGTGAAACATTGGCCCCGAAAAAAGGCAACATTATTTTTGAACCTTAATAGACAGTTACCTGTTAACCGTATCAAAAAATTGCCTTCTCTGTTCGTTGTGCGTCCTTTCTAGACGAGTAATTGGAGCACAAATTCCGACCTGTGCGCCAAACCGTTTACGAGATACGCCCGTTCGAAGGGTGCCGTGTCGGCCCGGAGGAGGCCGCTCTGCAGGGACTTTCCCTAAGGGGCTGATAGGCAACTCGCTCGACGGCCGCTCCCGCCAGCCGCGAATCCAGCGCTTAACGACTGTTTTTCAACGCAAATGTGGCTTGTTTAGCCTTGTTTGTTTCACCACCGTTCTAGAACTTGCTTGTATTCCATATGAACCCATAAAACCTCATCTAAAGGGGGACCATACTGAAATCACAGGAAAAGTAGCGATATACATCGGCAACTTTGGCCCGTCCCGTAGGTTCATTAAGAAATGTGTGAATTTCGCCTATGTTTAACCCTGACGGGATTTAAACCTGAGTTGGGGTCAAAATAGATTAGGGGTGTAAAAATACCGGTAAGATTCAAAGATACGTAAATAACGGTAAAATACGGTATTTTACCGTATTATACGGTATATTTGGGTACAGTAAAATTTTATCGTTTTGATCCACTTTGCTGCGATACAGCTCCAAAACTAAGGCGGCTAATCACACTCCGTAACAAAGGTGTTCTAAAGGAAGGCCCAAAGACCACCCACCCGTTGATAGAGAGCGATTAGCCGCCATAGATCAGACGCAGTGGCTGCCCGAAGTCAGCTCAAACCACGATTTCTACGCATTCGACACTGTTTCAACAAACTTTGCTGTAATACCGCTCCCAAACTAAGGCAGCTAATCGCACTCCGTAACATGGGTGTTCTAGAGGAAGGCCCAAAGACCACCCACCCGTTGATGGAGAGCGATTAGCCGCCTTAGATCAGACGCAGTGGCTGCCCAAAGTCAGCCCAAACGACGATTTCTACACATTTGATACTGTTTCGACAAACTTTGCTGCGATACCGCCCCAAACTAAGGCGGCTAATCGCACTCCGTAACAAAGATGTTCTAAAGAAAGGCCCAAAGACCAGCACCCCGTTGAGGGACAGCGATTAGCCGCCTTAGATCAGATGCAGTGGCTGCCCAAAGTCAGCCCAAACGACGATTTCTGCACATTTGATACCGTTTCGACAAACTTTGTTGCAATACCGCTCCTAAACTAAGGCGGCTAATCGCACTCCGTAACAAAGATGTTCTAAAGAAAGGCCCAAAGACCAGCACCCCGTTGAGGGAGAGCGATTAGCCGCCTTAGATCAGATGCAGTGGCTGCCCAAAGTCAGCCCAAACGACGATTTCTGCACATTTGATACCGTTTCGACAAACTTTGTTGCAATACCGCTCCTAAACTAAGGCGGCTAATCGCACTCCGTAACAAAGGTGTTCTAAAGAAAGGTCCAAAGACCAGCCACCCGTTGACGGAGAACGATTAGCCTAATAGGCTAAACAAGCCACATTTGCGTTGAAAAACAGTCGTTTAGCGCTGGATTCGCGGCTGGCGGGAGCGGCCGTCGAGCGGGTTGCCTATCAGCCCCTTAGGGAAAGTCCCTGCAGAGCGGCCTCCGCCGGGCCGACACGGCACCCTTCGAACGGGCGTATCTCGTAAACGGTTTGGCGCACAGGTCGGAATTTGTGCTCCAATTACTCGTCTAGAAAGGACGCACAACGAACAGAGAAGGCAATTTTTTGATACGGTTAACAGGTAACTGTCTATTAAGGTTCAAAAATAATGTTGCCTTTTTTCGGGGCCAATGTTTCACTTTTGACACGTTACTGCTCCAAAACTTGTCGAGATATCGTGAATCTGTCAACGGCATCGTCTTCCTTGGACCTTACTTGGTGGGAATCAATTCTTGGGTCGTGAAAATCGGATAAGAATGAGGGAAGCTATAGGATCAAACGCATCCAAGTCAAAAGTGTTCAATTTTGCGTTAAAACGGCCGCCATCTTGGCTCTGCACGCGAAATCGAAATGCCTCTGCGGGCAAAAGTGTTCAGGTGGGTCCCCAGAACACCCAAAAAAAATTCCAGCCCATGGTCATGAAGTGCAGTTTGGACGCCCATACGGGAGCGGGGCCACCCCACTACGCGGGGCACGACAAAGTGGCGCGGGGCAAAGAGGGGAGGGGGGGCGGCAGCCCAGCTGCGCTTCCGAGGACCGCCGCGGTGTGTCAGGCAGCAGGGGCGTCTTCTAGGAGTCTAGGCGTGAACGACCTCGCAACAACTACCACTCCCACCGCCGCGATGCCGCCCGGCTCCCTCCTGACGGCACCGATGGGGACGCCGAGATACCGTAGGCAGGCCAGAGGCAGGCCAGAGAGGGACGACAAATTTTACAGCCGCGTGTCCTACTCACCGTCTCTATTCATTCTCATTTAGAAAAACAACAACAAAATCACAGACAGCCTCAGAGGCGACTTCTGGACACGTTCATGAGTCTTTTATAAAGTCAAGTTTTCTAGGACTTCTCAATTCTTAGTTAACTATCTGAGCTATCTTTGACATTTTTTGAAAACTTTTGATGGGCTTCCTGTTGCTATAGATTTATTGTGAGCAGGATCTTATGGAGTTGCTGCCCCCTTCTGGCCCCTCTCTGAGATACATCTATAAACAGGCTAGTGCGCGGGCTAGGGCCAGAGGGCCGATCGCCGTCCGGTCGACTTTCGGCTCTCTTTCAGGCCGCGGGATTTGGGGTTTGGGTGCGACAGGGCGGGGCGGGGCGCGGCGGGACAGGACGGAACGGACGGAACGGGGAGCGACGCCACGGCACCACGGGACCCCCTAAAAATAGTCAGCCTGCCCACGGCCCCACCCCACGCTACCCCGGGGCTGGGCTCCAGGTGAGGCAAGCAGCTAGGGCCACATAGGCAAGTACATAGCCGTACCTCATACCGCTCGGCGAGGGCCTGCTCCATGGCCTCGATGCCGTCGCGCATGTTGTCATGCGAGGCGTCCAACTGCTCCTGGAGCTTGTCGACCTTCCGTTCACGCGTAGCTCTGCGCTGCTCTCCAGCCCGTCTCTCGTTCAGCTGCACAAGTAACAGGAAAAAATATTTTTTAAATAATTTTTACAGAAAAAAAAATTGAAATTGAGGACGAAGGTATAGAAAAGTTATTAACTTACAAAGTCTTCTGCCTTGAGGTGCACCTCCTGAATGCAGTCCTTTGCCTCTCCAAGGGTCTTCTGGAGAGAGGCAGCATCAGTCTCAGCCAGCTTCAATTGAGCACTCTGCAAAATTTCTTTAGAAGAACTTGATACTTTTTGAATTTCTGCTACCTGAAACAATAAAGACATGATAATAGCAGCATCCTGTAAGTTTAACAACAATATTGATAGATTGAAATATATCCATACCTTGCTTTCCTGAATTTTCAAATCATTGATGATTGCTTCAATTTCATCCCTTAATTCTTCCACAGCAGCTTGCCCTTCCACTGTGCAGAGACGATATTCCTCTAGTTCCCTGAGAGTTATCGATGGACCCTTAGACACAGAAGTAGGCTGGAAGAGTCAATAAAAGCACATTAGCAAGAATTCACTTAATTAGCACCATATTAGAAGATGATGATAAAATATAAAAATACTTTGTTTGACTTCTGAAGGTCTGCAAGTTCTTTTTCCAAGTGTGAAACTCTTTTCTTCTGTGCACAGACTTCTTGATCTTTCTCCAAAATCTAAAAAATTGCACACAATACTCAATATAAGAGAATGTGACACTTTCAAGTTGAATGGAAACAGTAGTTAAAAGCTAAATACCTGTTTCAACTGCTCATCTAACTGTGATCGAAGGAGATCAATCTCTCCTTGAACACAATGAGAGGAAGATGAAATTTCACCATCATCAACACCAGAATCACTGATACTACTCGCTTCAGGGATAGATGGAAAAGTTGTTCTTCTAGACTTCTGCAACAGTGAAGTGACACATCAATTATGAAGTAATTCTTAAGCATAAACCACTCACTTCAAATGATATTTAACTAAAATTTACGTACATTATCATAGTCACTTCGAGACTCACATGAAATCTACAAAACAAAAACAATTAACATCATAAATTTAAATATGGAAAATGCTAAAGTAGGCACTCTTATTTGTAACATTTTACACCAACAAATACTTTATTTTAACTTGTTTTCTTATGGTAAATTTTTTAGGTTTGAAAGCCTGAGTCTACAACAATGGCAAGCTGGGGTTCAACAATGGAGAGAAGGGTGCCACCTACTTGGTGTGTGTACCAGGCAAAAATAAAAAAGACGTGATAAAAGTCATGACAGCCACTTTCAGCACATACCTTTAGTTAAAATCAACTTCAGTGGAAAAATTAAGTACAACACAAAAGTATTGCAGTTTACTATTTCTTTATTTGCAACTTAGGGGAAGGCAAAAGAATACTAGAAGAAGAAGAATGGATGGTGCCACATTTTCTGACAGAAAAATAACCAGTGGAATTGACAACATCTAAATCACTTTCATCCGTTTGTTTATCAGATGTTGTGAACAACGACTCTACAGTGTCACCATGAGTAGTCACAACATCAGAAGGAAGGTTTATTAAGATATGAGCAATTTCATTGGTATTCATGGGTATTGGTGGTATATGAGCTACAAGCACAGAATCAAACCCGAAGCCAGTATTTTCAAATCCACATGCTTCTTGGCTAAGACTCGGCAAGCAGGTGAAAGAATTACAATCAATAGGAGCAGTATAGAAAGATGTTTGATCACAAACAGTCCCAGCTGAACAGCTGCAATTATTACTGGAGCCCAATTTTCTAAACTTGGTTCCTGCCCCACTTTTTGTCTTTTCCACTAAGAATTGTACTTTTTGGGGGGATTTGGGACTAGGAAAATATCCGAGCAGGTCACACTTTTCATTTTTAGTATCCTTCTCTTCAGAACTTCGTGAGGTGCCTTTGGCACGGCCACTAGAGGCTTTCCGTGCATGAAGGAAACACTCCTTTTCTTGTAAAATCTCTCCACACTCCCGAATATTAAATTGATGCCTTGGCTGATTCTTCATATTTAAATTGATGGAACGAAATTTGCTCTTTGCTTTTGTTTTTGAAGTATCTTCAAAGTGTGACTGTTCTGACTTGGATTTTGAAAAATACTGGGAGTTCGTATGAACATGGGACGGTAATGATTGGGAGCATTTTAAACCATGCCGCATGTTAAAAGTCTTCACTCTGTGAGGTTGGCAGCTATTATCAGGCAGAGCCGAATCTGACGTACTCTTTTTGGGTTTAATGATGCTTGATTTAGCATTGCAGGACCTTTTGCTTTGTAATTTGTTATAACCAGGTGACGGGGAAAAGGAGGTTGGCACTTCAACACCAACAAAACTCATCTGGGGAAAATTAGTAAAAATAGCTTACAGGTGGGCAGGGGCCTAGCGAATTACAATGGGGTTGCAGTTACAGCTAAGTATTAAGTATAACACAAATGTTACACTTAAACCAAGGGGGAAAAAGGGGAGGTTAAAATTAAACAGTACATACCTTACTTCGAGCAATTTTTAGCTCATTTCTCATCTCACGTATAATGTTATCCTTAAAATGGGTCTGCATATTGGCATTTTTCACTTGTTCATCTAACTGATGAACTTCTTTCCTAAGCTCTAGCATCTGGTCGTGTTTTTCAGCTACTTCTACAGTGAGTGCTGCTTTGGTATCATAATTTTTCTACAAAAAGAAATGGTGCTCTACAAATAACAGTGGATTTTGGTTTATCAACTCTACCACTGAACAAAAGAAGATATACTTACTTTTTCCAGTTCCTTGACGCAAGAAGCTAGAAGCTGGACTTGCCTAGTGGCTTCTGCAAGTTGCTGGCGAGTTGTTTCCAGATCTTTGCTCAGATTAACCATTGATGGATCAGAGGACAATTGAGGAGGAATAGGTTTTGAAGCTTCTTCAGCCAACCTATCTCTCTCTGCTTTGATCACATTACAATCTGATTCCAAGTCCCGAACTCTGGAGATGAGAGCCGACACTTGCTCCTGCTGCTGTTTTAATCTTTCTTGAACCCATGGAGTCATTTCACTCTGTCCACAAGACAATGGATTTTAAGTTTAGTTTCATAAAACATTGAGAAATAATAAATGTTTCTAAACCTTGCACAGTAAGTAAGATTTTGTTAAGTACTGACCTCCTGAGTGGCTGTATATGTACATTCAACTTGTGAATCACCGCATTCTGTTTCACAATTTAATGCTATTTCTTGCATATATTTTTGTTCTGTTTCAACTGCTTGCTTCACCTTCATAGAGAACACACATTGTTAACCAAATTAAACAATGCAATGAGTCACAATCAAGATACTAATAATGATGATAATAATACCTACCCTCTTTGAAGTCAAGGTAAAAATGTCCTGCATTTCTTCAATTCGTTCTAGCAAGTTAAGTATTTCCGCATCTTTATCAGCTAACATATTTTTAAGACTATCCACATCTCCATTGATATTTTTCTGCATTAGAAAGAAAAAAGAATGATCACAAATTTATTTTAAGCTAAAATGTTTATTTTGTATTTATAGAATTAAACATTTGACATGGAATCAAGTTTAATTTAAAACAACTAGTTTTGTTATGTATTTTCTGATTCATTGACAAGTAAGGAAACTGTTATAGTGCAATCATAGCCTTTAAGTACCTGAGAGTTATTTATAGCAGCATCTGGAGTAGTAAGTGCTTGACCAGTCCTGTGAAACAAATATAAGACAGGCTAGATAAGAAAAATATTTTTTAAAAAAATCATAAATTGCTAATAAAAAATTTAAAGGATTTTCAAAATAATTTTAAACATAGAGGAAATAAAATGATGAAGCAAGGGCAAGTGCTGGTTACCACTTACAAATGCTTATCTAAACAGGACTGCAATACATTAAAAGGTTTGTCTATGTTGGGGCGTATCTTGGACAGGTGAGGCAGGGAGGAGCGTAGATCCTCCAAAGAGTCAGAATAGCCACAAGACAGAGCATCAGGGGCCCCAATTTCATTATCCATGTTACGAAGAGGTATTTTACATCCGAGACTCAATGACTCCTTCTGCAGAGAGTCCACAGAATTATGGACTTTAGGATAAGCAGTGTCAGTCAGGGCTTGATCAGTCTGGCTTGCCGAATTGTGAAACTGTAGAGAGTCTCTTTGGAAATGTGAAACACTGTGAGCGGAGTAGCTCAGTGCTTTTTCAGACATGTCGTTTGTAATTGGAACAGTACAAATAATAATTGTTCCTGAATCAGCAGGGATTGGGAAACAGGTTTGATACCCTTGGTCTGGACTAGCCATCCACACTTCCTTGCATGGATCGCAGTGCACTCTCGGAGATTCAGTGCAAATAAGACTGGGGGGCTTCATTCCATCACCAAAATTATTTGGGGATTGGTCTATCAACACTCTATCTGTTTGAATGCAAACATCACACATGGGGCCTGTTTTCCTGAGTTCTGGACTTAGAGGGGCTGGTATTTTCTGAATGAGGGATTTCCCAAAGGACCAGTTATCATTTGCCGCCCCACTGTCGGAGATGCTGTTGGGAAAATTCAGGTGATGGGGATGTCAGAGATCATGATCACACACAATTTTTCAGTGACCCATGGGATTGAAGGAGGCTTCAATCTAGCAAAGGAATAAATAGGATCAAATCGTTACCTCTTGGGAGACGTTGGCAGGAGGTTCTTGTTAACAGTGTGAAGCTTCACATTATCAACAGACCAATATCCCTGCTGATTTGCTTGGTTGATGACACCCAGTAAACTAGAAATGTCATCCTGAAGATGCTGAACTTGTTGCCTAAGATTCAGTTCAATTTCACTCTTCTTCACCAAAAATAAAAAAGGAATTTTAGAAAATTTTATTTGAAATTAATTGAGAACAACCAAGAGTAAGTGAGAAATAACATTACCTCTCTTTTGGCTAGATGTTCATTGCGTTTGATTACCAAGCTTGTTTTTTGGAGCTGTTCGTGCATCAAGTCGACTCTCTTGAGCAATTCTCTTTCCAGGTCCTCTACAGTACGTACAAGCATCGTATTTTGCTCAGTCAGGTCGTGAACCCATGATTTGAGAGTATGCATAGCAAGCTGTGAAAATAAATTCATACAAGGTTGTCTGGACTGATTTTAACCACTGTTTGAAAAGTCATGAAATATCTTTAAAAAAGGAACCCGAAATAAACTAAGTGAAAGTAATTTTCTGTTAAGTTTGCAACATCGGAATACGAGAATGTAAACCGTTTCTGGGTCAACCAATCCAAATTTAGATTTGGAAATTTAACACATTGCCAAAATTAAATGAATAAGGACAAGAACTGAGAAATGTACCTCACTGTCACCGTCGAGCCTCTTCAGTCTCTCAGCGTACAATCTCTGGAATTGCTCTAGTATACCAAGAGATTCTGATTCACCACAAACTGTTCCATTGGAACCATTATTGCATGATGCCTTATCTCCCTCATTCAGATCGTTTGTCTGAATACTACCCGCAGTGTAACCACTCATGTTAAACAGTAAAAACACTTAAAAACGTGTTAATCTTGGATCAAAATGAACATATTTAATTACGTTGCATTCTGACAAAACGATGTTGACGTTTGAGAATTATGCTAGTTAGGTTCAAGTTAATTCGTTTCCCATGCATATTACAAGTTCGACGACAACTGCATATTTCGCCAATTAATAGATGGTGAAAAATTGAGATGATGGCTCAAACGTGATCTCCTAAAACTAGAGCATCACAGAGAACTTCACCAATAAATCTTTCCTTTAAATCTTAAATGAACGAACAGAACTGTCTGTTGAATTCACAGCCCACTCGAAACGTTTCAAATCCTAGGTTTGTGAGGTTATGTTTGTTATGTTGTGTTTGCAAGGTTAGTTCCAACGCGCCAACGGCGTCTGCGGAAATTTTACAAGAAATAAGATACCTGCATTTGCATAATTGTCTCCAGATATTACTCTTATTCCATTATACCCGTGGTTAGTTGGAATTTTCTCTATTTTATTCATTATTAAGTGAAATCTCAAACCGACACAGGTTTTTTAGAATGAACATAACCTTCAAAACTTTGTAATTCTATTTAGTTCAAGTTTAAACCCACAGTTTTTGTTTGACGTTCCCGTTTATCATTCAATTTTTAATCATCACCACTTAACATTATTTGGTGTACAGGCATTCTTGCCTCTAGGCCGGTTGCATTTCGTTTCATCATATGTAATTTCAGGAGTCATAGCTTCATTTGTTTGTAATTTTTTGTAACTTTTACAGGAAATAACTAAAATGAGCAGCCCTGACTTTGAGGGACGTGGGAAAAATGCCTCTCAATCTGAGGAAAGTGACAATTATGACAGCAATCCGTCTCCTCCAAAGAAGTCCAAGAAAAAGCGCAACTACGATTCAGAGGGTCCTATCCCAGCTAGTAAAGTGCGCAAGGTAGATGCCAGTGAAGAAGAAGAGGGAGAGCATAAAGATGATGGTAGTGTGCATAGTGGCAAAGATCAAGTGTCCAAAGAACGACTTCATGATGAAAAATCCAAAAGCAGCCGAAGAGTCAAGGACAAAGATCAAGAAGAGGAGCGAGGTAAAGAGCGGGACAAAGGCAGGGACAGAGACAGGGATTATGACAGATACAAAGATAGACGGCGGAAAAATTATGAAGAGTATGAAAGAGATCCACCGGCAAACTTTGAAAGGTACTGGGGTGCTGGACCTAAAAGAAGTTCATACAATGACCGAGATCGAAGACGTAGGGACGACTCTGACCGTGACTATGATCGCTACCAAGATCGGAGATCTGGCAAGGATAAAGGAAGGGAAGTCTCGGGGAAGGTCGGGCCACGATACTATGGAGGGAAGGATGATGAGTCTAAACATGTTGAAGAGAATGAAGATGGAAAGGGTCCCTCTAGCTCTTCCAAAGATGCAAATAAAAGTGAAGAAGTCCTCTCAAAACCAGCTGAGAAGAAAATTGTTGACATGCTCACTTCAAGGACAGGAGGTGCTTACATTCCTCCAGCAAAACTTAGGATGATGCAAGCTCAAATTACTGACAAGTCAAGTGCAGCTTATCAACGAATAGCGTGGGAAGCCTTGAAAAAGTCAATTCATGGTCACATTAACAAAGTTAACACAGGAAATTTGGCAACTGTCATTCGAGAATTACTGCAGTTAAATCTTGTTCGAGGATGTGGTCTCCTATGCAGAAGTATCATTCAGGCCCAGGCCGCTTCTCCAACTTTTACTAGAGTGTTTGCTGCCTTGATTTCTGTCATCAATTCAAGAGTATGTTTGTTTGCTTCTCTCTTACATTATTATTGTAATTATGGGATTTATAATTTTTCTGTTTATTTGATTACTTTTCAGTTTCCTCAAATTGGAGAATTACTTGTGAAAAGGGTGGTGATCAACTTTAAACGTGGCTTCCGCCGTCAAGACAAAGCTTCATGTATTTCATCTGCCATCTTTATTGCTCACCTTGTAAATCAGTGTGTGGTCAGTATCTCATATAAATAAAGTACTATACTTATCTTTCCTTAAACATTTCAAGTTACTAACTATGACATGCTTTTTTATTGACAGGCCCATGAACTGCTTGCCTTAGAAATTTTGGTTCTATTGGTTGAGACACCGACAAGTGACAGTGTAGAGGTGGCTATCGCGTTCTTGAAGGAGGTTGTTGATAAATTGTTAGAAGTTGCTAAGAAGGGCACCATGGCAATTCAGGATATGTTACGTAACATATTACATGAAGGAACCCTTGACAAAAGAGTGAGTTTACTTATTATGCTTGCTTCATACTTTTTTTATGTTTTCAGTTGTGCCTTGGTTACTATTGATTTTATTCACCTTCCAGGTGCAATACATTATTGAAACTATGTTTCAAATAATTAAAGTTGGTGGAGCAAAGAAACTTGATGATGAACAGAAACAAAAAGAAGATGAAGAACTTCTTACTTTAGTTGAAGAAGAAGATCAGATAACTCATATTATTAACTTGGATGATGCTGTAGATCCTCAGAGCATTTTAGGTGGGATCACAATACTGTTAGTCTCAATTCAACCTTTTTTTTGTCTTATAAAATATTGTATCTTAATTATTTTTTTTCTTCCTCTCAGATGTATTTAAGGAAGACCCCCAGTATGAGGAGAATGAAGCTGCATATGCCAAACTTCAAAAAGAAATTTTGGGTAGCGACAGTGAGTCTGGTGAAGAAGGTTCTGATGAAGAAGAGGATTCTGATGAAGAAGATAGTGATGGTATGAGAGAGGGACTCACAGAAAAAAATTATTTGAAATTTTGTTAATGTTTGTTCTGGTAATGATCCTTTAATTTTCATATTTTAGGTGAAAAGAAAGCTGATAAAATTATAGACAACACTGAAACAAATCTTGTGGCTCTGCGAAGAACTATTTACCTGACAATTCAATCCAGTTTGGATTTTGAGGAATGCGCCCACAAACTAATGAGAATGCAGTTGAAACCTGGTCAAGAAATGGAAATGTGCCACATGATACTGGATTGTTGTGCAGAAATGCGAACTTACCAAAAGTTCTTTGGCCTCTTAGCCCAGGTTAGTTTGTCAATTATGCAGCGCCAGTTGTTTTCATGTTGTTGTTTTTTTCTAGCAGTTTAGCTAATTTTTTGTTTCTCTCTACAGCGCTTCTGTATGATAAATAAATTGTATATCTCTCCATTCCAACAAATATTCTGTGACAGTTTTGCCACAGTGCACCGTTTGGAAATTAACAAACTAAGGAATGTAGCCAAATTCTTTGCCCATCTCCTCCACACTGATGCTATATCCTGGGAAGTTCTTTCTTCATGCCGTCTTACAGAAGAGGATTCTACATCTTCCTCAAGAATTTTCATCAAAATCCTTTTCCAGGAACTCTCAGAGTACCTGGGATTACCCAAGCTGAACAATAGAGTCAAAGATGCCACTCTGCAAAGTGCATTTGAAGGATTGTTTCCAAGAGACGATCCTAAAAATACTAGATTTGCTATTAATTTCTTCACCTCTATTGGTTTGGGAGGCCTTACAGACGAGCTGCGAGAGCATCTGAAGACTCAACCCAGGACACAGACCGTACCTCTCCCTATTCAGAATGCTGTTGATGAAACAACAAGCTCTTCTAGTTCAAGTGATTCCAGTTCCAGCTCAAGCAGCTCTGATAGTTCAGGTAAGACTTGCACTTCTTCGTTTTCTAATTTTAATCTTTTGTTCTGGCAATGCTAATTTTTGTTTTTGTACCTTAACAGATTCGTCTGATAGTGAAGATGAAAAGAGGAAAGCGAAGAAAAAACTGAAGCAGAAAAAGGGAAAGGCTGACAAGTCAGGGAAGGAAGGTAAGAAGAAAGGCAAGAAGTCAGAGACAAAGTCAGCTGAGGAAATGGAAGAAAGTTTTGAGAAACGGAATAAGAGGGACTTCGACAAAGGCTCTAAGAACCAGGATGATTATGCTAGAAAAAATTATTCAGAAAAGCAGCATAGAATGGAAAATGAAGATTGGAGACAAGCAAGAAAAGATGTGGAGAGAGGTGGTAGGAGAGACCAGCATGATAGGCCTGACAGGAGAGACCAGGGCGACAGGCCAGACAGGAGAAACCCAAATGATAGGCCTGACAGAAGAGACACAAATGAGAGGCCTGACAGGAGAGATCAGGATGGGCCTGAGAGGAGGGATGTGGATCGAGGGGAAAGGGGAAATTTTGGAAGGGGAGAGAAAAAGAGCTTTGGTAGAGAGGAGAAGCGGAACGTTGAAAGAGGAGAAAAGGGAGATCGCAGAGAAATGCAACGAGAGCCTCGAAGAAATGAAGAGTTTGAATCCCGGCGAGGTTCACAAAAGGAATCACATATGAATGAATTTGACAAGCGGCAGAGTGACAGAGAGCATGAAAAGGATCACCGTGAGAGAGAAAAAGAAAAATCTCGTCATACTGACAAAGAAAAATATCAGCAATATGAGAAAAACGGGGATAAGGACAGACACCGGGAAAGGGAACGAGAGAAGGAGAGGCATTATAGATAGTTCATTTTAGATCAACTGATGCTACATCTTTGTAAATAGTATGTACATTTCTATTTGACTTTTTCACTTAGTTTTTGTGTAGGTGTTCATTTTGATGTAGGGTTCAAATCTTTCTCATGCGTCTTATTTTCTAAATCGTGGTTTATTAAAAAAATATAATTTTAAAAACATGAAATGCTGGCTGGAACAGAGGCTTTTTGTTAACAGTAAACTTCTGTTTTAATTTATGTGACAGTCTGAAGTAAATAAATTGAATCAATTTGTAAACTTGTTACTTGTTCTCTTTATTCCCCTTAATCCAAGGACTTAAGGGCGGTGGATGTGATTTTCTGAATATCACATAGTTTTGTTGCTGGGCACTTTTCGGCAGCTGGAAAGTAAAGAGGAAATTCAAAATTTCAGGGAATACAAACTGACTTAAATGCATAGAATTCAATTTAGTGAATGCTTACTGGCGTGGAAGGCGCGGCACTTGCCACACTGTGGCACCAGTTGGCTTGCCATGTCACCCAGGCCAGAGTCCACCTTTGCGGCGACAGCTGCCCACCTGAGAACGGAGTGAAAGGGCAAGAGTGATTCCATAGTCCATGAGACAGAATGACAGACTCCAGTGCACAAGCCACACAACACACCTCTTAGCCTTGCGCAGGGGCGGCGGCGGCGCCTCCAAGCACGCCTTGGTCTTCTTCCACGCGTCCTTGGCCACCTGCTTGCGCAGGAAGACGCCGCGTTCGGCCTGCGGGTAGGCGTGCTTGTGGAACTTGCCGCACTCCTGGAACCACATGCGGCGGTACTCCATGCTGACGAGGAGCTTCATGTCGGGGCGCAGCGCCGTGCGGTCGTACGTGGGGATGAAGGGCTTGGGCGGCGGCCCGGTGAAGACGGTCAGGTTGTCGGGCTTGGGGCCCTGCAGGACGCTCTTCTCCCACTTCCGGACCGCCTTGAGGCTCATCTCGGCCGAGGTCCTGCTCGTCGTGCTGGTCGACGGCGTCGCCTACACCCTCATCGCGCCGCGCCGGGGACACACTTGCTGCCTGCTGGGCCTGCTGCTGGGCTCGGGTAGTGCACAGTCATTTGCATTTTGACGTACTCATATTTGTTTTATTATTTTCTTTATAAATACACCGGTTGCGGTGGCGGGGGAGGGGAGGGGGCCTATTGCCGGACTGCTCGGCAACAAGACCAACAGAGGCACTGGGCGCCTTCGCCTCGGGGCTCGGGGCCGGCGGCGCGCCGCGGCGCTGCCGAGGGGGAATGCACAAATCACACGAGTTCCGAGTCCTGCCAGAGGGCCAGGGCCTTGGTCAGGGCCAGGGGCGGCCAAAAGGTCGTCCGTAGGTATCACAGGGGTGGGGTCCGACAGGTCCGACTGACTGCCGTTGCGCACCGCGCCCTGCCACCCTACAGGCAGGCGATGGCTTCCGCCGGACTGGGGCTGCGGGGGCGCGCGTCGGCGCCGTGCTGCGCGTGCTGCGGCGGCGGGGGCTGCGGTCTGGGCGCGCACGCCTCCACCACGCGAGAGTGAGGGGCGTGAGCGTGAGGGACTGCCGGTGGGGCCGATGGCGGTGGCAGCAGCCTGGCCTGTCGCAGCCGTTCCGCCAGGTCCATCGGCGCGGCGTTGTCCTCGGCGAGGACCTCGTCCGCCTGCTCGATGGCGTGGAGCGCGTCCCCGGCCACGACCTGTGCGCATAGGGAATGCATGGTAGAATGGGCGCCGTCGATGCTCTGTCTCTCTCGCACCAGCACGACACGCCGCGTCAGTGCGAAGGAGGCAGAGCCACGAACGCTGTGCGGTGCGCGGTGCGCGAGGACTTCCCCCTCGTGTGCTCTACATGCGCCTTGGATTGCCGCCAGTCAAGAAATTAACGAGGCAATCTCTCTTCTCTTTCTCTCTCGGGCGCAGGGAGGGTGGTGGGGGCACACCGAGAGGCACGCTGTGCAGACACACATTGAACCGGGGGGCGTCCGCGATGTCCGCGTGCCAAAACACGAAACAGGGCCCCATTGCAGTGGTGCGACTCACCGGCCACAGCTCCGAGTCGCGGCGACACCGCTCCATCAGCGTACAGTGCAGCTCGTACTGCAGCATGCCTGCGACGTGAACCCAAAGAGGGGGCGGTCACCGCCGAGCCCAAAATGCCACTAATCCAGTATTCGATCCCGCGACTCCACGCACCTGAGAGCGAGCAGCTGCCCGCCTGGAGGGCCCGCAGCACCCCGAGCAGCTCGTGGACCAGCGCCTCTTTGAGGCGAAGCTGCTCCTCGGACAACTCTGCAAAGCGAAAAGGGGTATTCGTGGAAACTGTAAATACTGGTCACGACTGCGTAATGTGGGCCCGGCCAGACGAAAAATAAAACAACTAAGTGCAAATGGGGGCTGCGGTGAATGAACAAATCTCAGCACCTTCCTCGAGCTGACACGTTCGTGACTGATAGTCACGCCGAGCTGCCAATGGGGGGGGGGGGCGAAAGGGCGCACGCGGCACGCAACGCGGGGCGCGGAAAGGGCCGAGCATGGGCACGACTACGACTGCGTGATGAGAATATGATGACGATTATTATCAGGGCGAGTTCTATGGCCAGCCCGTCCACCGCGGCCAGCCGCGTAGCCTTCCCTCCCCCGGCCCGTAACTACCCCTCTGCCACCCCGGGCCACCCGGGCCCACCCCCGGCCGACAGGGCAGGGTGGCACTGGTGGCATGAGCTATATGAGTTGGGCAGGTGGGCGAGGGGAGGGGGAGGTGAGGTACGCGCTGGCTCGCGGCCCACAACATAGGCTGGTGCCCTCTAGTGCCCGCCGGCCTCTGCCATGAGGTTCGGCACCCAATGCGCCGACCGCCGCGCCGCGCCGCCAACGGCGGGGCCGCTTAAAGTTTAAAAGTCTCTCAAGTTTGATGGCGCCGTTTGGCTCGCGCGTTACTGTCGCGTTGATGTGACAAATTAGTGGCGGCGAGTACAAAGCGGGCAAAGGCAGGAGGCGGCTGCCATGGGCCTGGTGAGCTTCGAGCTTCCGCCTCCCTCGCGGCTCCCTCACCCGAAAAGGTCATCCCGGGCTTCCGGCCCAGCGACCACACCACGTCCGACTTGAGCTCGACGGTGATGTGGTTGGTGGCGGGCAGCAGGTGGCGGTTGTCCTGGAGGAAGCGCAGGATGGCGCCGGGCTGCGGCGGCACGGCGGGGTTCAGGTACAGCGTCTGCAGCAGGCCGCCCAGCACGGACTGCAGCAGCGTGGCGCGCTCGGCGGGCACGTCCAGCGCGCACCCCGCGCAGCGCCAGGGCCCCGTCAGCGACAGCGGCGCGGTGGGCAGCACCGGGCCCCCGCAGCCCCGCGACGGGCAGGGCAGCGCCGCCAGGAACGTGCCGCCTTCCTGGAAGCCGGGGCGGCCGAGGCCGGGCAGGGGTCACTACGGGAGGGAAGCGGCGAGACCAGCAAGCCCTCCCCCACCCAAATTGTTTACTTATTTCGACCCATGACAAAAAATAACAAAAACACTTTAGTCCAGGGCGGAGCATGGCTCTCGCACAGGGCGGACTGCGGTCGCAATTTGACCGTATCATAATGACCTAACGTCGTAAAATTCCGTACCGGCAAGATAGGGCAACTTTTGAGGGACCGAGTCGAGGTGGGGGAGGGGTGCATGTTACAACACACCCAGCCGCGGGCCGCGGCGCTGGCCGTTTCATTAAAACGCCAAGTGCGGTAAAGAACTAAAGAACCCGCTGCACATGCGAACTCCCGACGAGTGAGGTCGTTTGAGCACACGCGACGTTGCGGTTGCTTCGCATTGCTTCGCATTGCTTTGCTCGTCCTCACCGCGGGGTCTTTGCAGCGACTGCAGGCACACAGGAAGTGCTTGGTGCGGAGCAGGTGCTGGCGGCGCGCGGGCGAGCCCCACAGCAGGGCCGAGTAGGTGACGGTGAGCTCCTGCCCCGCGGCCACGGGCCGGGCCACGCGGATCACCATGTGGCCGCGGGCGTCGTAGGCGTGCCTCGTGTTCGGCGTGCACTCGTGGTTCAGCAGGGCGCCGAGCGGGTACAGGCCGCGGAGCGCGCCCACGAACGGCGTCCACGTCTGGGGGACATTAAAAATACATGAAAGTCTGAAAGTCGGAAAAGCGGGGAAAGAAGGGAAACACAGGCGGGAAACACGGGGTGGAATAGGGGAATTAGAAACAGTCCGCTGTCGTGCCAAAGGACCATGCTGTCGGCGTGCTTGGCGGCGTGCTGGCGGGCCGTCATGCTTGGAAACGCGTCTTGCAGGACGGCCGGCGCCCCACGCCAAGGGCCACGTCGAGGGCCACGTCGAGGGCCAAGGGGGCGCAGGTCCGCCGCGACGCCGTGCCTCGACCATGCCACACTCGTCATTCCGTCACTCGGCGGCAAGGCGGCAGGCCGGCAGGCAAAACGGCCCGGTGGTTGATTACCTGTTGCACTTCATTAAGGCGAAGCGTATTCTTAGGCTTAGCGCTGGCGGTGCTAGCGGCGCTAGCCGTGCTAGCTGTGCTGACCTCGCCGGTGTGGGCGGCGGCCGCGCGCCTGGCGGCGTCCCGGGCCGCGTCCTCCGCGGCGGGCAGCGTCATCCTGAAGGCGTTGGCGTCCATCACGCAGCAGGCCAGGCGCATGAAGCGCTCCTCCTCCGGCTTGGGGCTGCTCTCCAGGCACTCCAGCAGCGTGCCGACCTGCAGGCAGCACCGGCATGACTTCTGCGATTTTCGGCGGCGGACCACGATCACGGACTCTGCGGGCTGTTACCTCGGAGGCGTGCTGCCTGCCGTAGTGGCTCTGCATCGAGGCCAGGATCTCCCTCTGGTCGGGCGGCAGGGCGAGGCAGCGCACGGCGGAGGCGACGCGGAGCAGGACGTCGGACCAGCGGCCGGCGTCGCCCTTGACGCCCCAGCGCCGCAGCAGCGCGCACTCGGCCACGTGGCGGGGGTCGTCCTCGCAGGCGGTGCCCTGCAGCGCGCTCGAGGCGCACACCGGCAGCCTGCAGCCCCGCGAGCACGCCCGCAGGGCCTCGGACGCGCGCGGCTGCAGGCACCCCACGCACACGGCCGGGATGGAGGGGTCGCTCCCAGCGCGCGGCCCCAGCACGAGCGGGGCGTCGACCAGCACCAGGTCGCCGGGGTGCAGGTCGCGGGTGGCGATGACGCCGCGGCCTCCGAGCGGCGACTGCACGATCTCCCAGCACGGCGCGGGGCCGTCGCCGGGCTCGCCGCCGCCATCCAGCACGTCTGGCACGCCGTGACGCTGGAGGCCGTTGGCGCGCAGGTGGCGGGCCATGAGGCGCTTGGTCTCCTCCACGGACCGGCCCATCTGGACCGTGATGCCGATGGCGCGGAGATAGAGCGGGAAGGCGTCCCAGATGGCGTCGCCCAGCCGCGCCTCGATGGCGTTCAGGAAGCCGCTGCTCAGCGACGGGCCCAACCTGGGCGACCGGCCGCGAGCGTCGCCGTCCGCGCCGCCGCCATCCTCCTCGCCGGCGATGTGGCCGATATGACAGCTCTGCGCACTCTGGGCCGACGCGCCACTCGACGGGCCCACGGACGGGCCGCCAGCAGGGGGCAGGGGTGCCGCGCCGAGGGCCGGGAGGGCCGGGGCGTCAAACTGCCGGGGTTGGGACGCCTGCGACTGCCGCCCGACCTGTTGGCCGCAGTCTGGCCGCGGACTTGGCCGCAGAGGGGGCTGAGTCCGCACACGCCCAGGGCCGGGCTGGCCGGGCTGTTCCCGCGGTGACAGCGGCCCCGCGGCCAAGTCCGCGGCGTCGGCACCCCCACCACCCGGCGGAGCGGGCTCTGTCGGCTCTGCCGGCTCTGCGGCCAGTACATCATCATCGTCATTGTGGTCCAAATGACTACGCCCCGCTCGTTGCCCTGCTCGGTGCTCGCTGCTGCCGCCGCTGCTGCCGGGCCTCGAGCTATTCACGGCGACGGGCTGCTCCATCCTGCCAAGCACGGAGCACACATTGTTTCAGTTGATGCGTGATGTGTGAGGCAGTGGCGCTGACGTGGGGTGGCGGCGCGTGGCGGCGCGTCTTGGCACGTCACGATGTATGTATACGCCATCGGGCTGCGCCATCGTGCCATCGCGACCGCCTGCTACCTGACGGGAAACTTTGATGCGATGCCGCCGAAAGGAAAGGAACCCCCTCCACCCTCCAGACACGGCGTGAAATTTCGCTGGCTCCAGAACTCCAGTCACGCGTCATCCCGACACGCGCCTTTTGACTAGCATCAGCGAAAAACAACCGCCCGCCGAAAACCCCGACGATGATGGCGTCAATGAGATTAGCCTTGCGGTGTCGCAGTGTGTCCCGGTCGCCGTGGAAGCCCCAGCGAGGCTCAGCGAGGCGGGGTACGTCCGCGCGGGGTATCGCCGTGGCGCGCGGAGTCTCGCCGGCCGCCCTGCGGGCCGAGGTAGGCAGTCCCGTTGCACAGGCGAGCGGGCGCGCTGCCTACGTCGCACGGCGCTAGGCGCTCCGAGGCGCTGGTAGGCAGCACGCTCCGCGCGGCCGCGCGACGGGCCGGCCAGCCTGGAAGGCGTGGAAGGCGTCCCCCCCCCCCCCAACCTACCCCACCTACCCCACCCCTCCGGGCCGAACCCATTGACCCCGTGGTGTGCTGACACGGGTCGCGGCTGGGCTGACTCGATGCAAGGCTTCACAATGTCCAACACAAGAGCGCCCCGCCCCGCCCCGCGCCGCGCAGGGCCCACAGCGGACAAAAGCGGGGCCGCAAGATAGACGGCGTGCCTGACACGGACACGGACGGGACGGGCCGATCCACTGCGATCCCCTGGCACCGGCAATCGAACGACGAGCCCCCCGCGCCCCGCCCCGATGATCCACCCGCGCGGCCCGGCCGGGCCCGGCCCCGCACTGCTAAAACCCTCGACGGCCTTCAGCAATTGGCCCGTTTTGAATTTCTTACCCCTCTCAACCCCCAAGCTGCTCTCCGCTCTGAAATGGCGTGACAGTGTGACGGAGTGCAGCCGAGCGCCACTCGAGCGTTTGACGCTTGACTTGGACGAGGGCCAGTCGCAGCGCCAAGGCCCAGGCACGCCGGCCACGCGGCCGACTCCACGCACGCCACACACTCGCGGCATTTGTCAGTAATGATTTGGGTTAATGCCCCCGGACACACGAACACACGGATCGACCACATGAATGAGTCCCCTCAGATTCGGGACTTCCCTCTCGGCCGCGCGCCGCTCGGATTGGCGCGGATACGAGCCGAGCCGGGCGGGAAAAGAGGGGGGGGGGACGGTCGGGGCAGGTGAGCTTATTCAGTAACACGCGTGTACGTTGGACTGCCGGGCTGGTCAGAGGATTAGGGAAGCACCGGCAAAGGCTTCTGCCGAGCGATTCCGAACAGTCGCTCTGTCTCTCTCGCACTCGCACTACCCTACAGGACGCTCCATGAGTGCGACAGAGACAGAGCGCTGCCCGGCCGATGGCCACGGCGCCACGGCCCTAGGAAAACAAGCCGCTAACCAAATAAGCAGCTTCGCCCCCGACACTTTGCGTTTTACTTCATCGAGGGGAACCGAGGAACGGAGTCAGGTCGACTCATCTATTTCTGCCTGGCTGGTTCAAGACTTGATTCGTCTGAATCCCAAATCTTAGTCTCTGCTCAGCAAATCAAATCATCTACGACGGCAGTTTTAAAAATATTTTTTTTAGCGCGAGACATAATATGTACATTTCTGTTCTGCATGGTGGATGAATCGTTGACACTGCGGCGCACTTACTTGCAGTGTGCGCTATCCCCGCCGTTGAGGTAGGGCCGCGCCACCGTCGGCAGGCCGGGGCCGTCGTCGTCGACGCCGTCACCCTCGAGTGGAAGCACCGGGGACTCGTCGGGCAGCACCAGGAAGTCGGGGAGCGCCCGAGCGATACGCGGATAGGGGTGTGTCGATGTACCAGTGGGCCAGTCGGTTGCGCCCCGCCCCCCGATTCGTCGGGCTGCTGCGCGTGTTTCCGGGTAGCTCCTTGCTGACGGCACCCTCGATGTGCCCCGAGCAGCCCCGAGCCTCCTGCTGCCTACTCCGCCGAGACGAGTCAGAGACTGCAGCTTCCCTGCCGGCCCGGCTGGCCGCGCGCCGCGCGCTGCGCGCTGGTTCACCGACGAGGACCGGCCGGCACCCCTTCCCCCTCCCCGCCCTCCACCCCGCCAGGGTCCTGACGCCCGGCACGCCAGGGGCGGCAAGGTGCACGTCAGACACCACTCAGCCTGACTCGGCCCAGCGGCCCGGCCGAGACGCGCTGCCAGTGCTGCCAGGCCAGTGGCGGATCCAGAGTCAGCCCAAGGGGGGGGGCAAAGTAGCACTTTTTGCCTACTTACAGGGGCAAATTGGTGCTTTTTGCCTACCTTTCAGGCGGCTATCTAGGGGTCAAGAGGGGGGGGCAATTGTCCTTTTGCCCCCCCCCCCCCCCCCCCCGGATCCGCGCTTGTGCCAGGCCCCGAACAGAGCGGCCAACGCACACGACCAAGGGAAAAGGGGCGGGGATAGTCGGTCGGAAATCGGAATCGGAATGAGAAGTCACTAATTTTAGAGCCAGCTGAGAATCGAAAGGCGGCAGTGAAAATTAAAACGTGGAAGTGAGCGCCCAGGATGTAAGCCGCGCTGGCCGTGCGCCCACGAGGAATGGCGACCCGCGCGCCGCGCGGTCCAGGAAGAGGTGTGTCTCTTGTCGTCTGCTGTCGTGTCGTCTGCTGTCGTGTCGCTCGCACGGCGCGGTTACGCCGGTCTTTTAAATGGAAACATTTTCGCTGCTCCGCATGTCCACGGAAAATTAATGTCTCTTTGTCGTGAATTTGAAAGTCAATTCTTGCTTTGGTTTCGTTTTTATTGGTTGTTTTTTGTGGGCGGGGCAGTCCGTTTTCTGGGCGAATCGAATCGGCGTGAGTCCTCCTCTGCTCATCCGCCAGGCCTGCCACTCGCCGCCACTACACCGCCAGACAAACGCGACGCCACGCGGCTTATCTCGCGGTCCACATTTAGATGTCCGTCGTTCCGTCGGTACACGACAATCAGTTATTCGCGGAGACATCGCGGCGGGGCCGGGCCTCTAGGCCTGGCCGGGCAGCGACAGGCCGAACAATGCCGCCGCGACGTGCCCCGTCCTCGCGGTCCTCGTGGTGCCAAGCAGGGCCGTGTCCGCGACCAGGCCGGCCCCGCACCACCACACCGCCAAACCACGGCCCGGCCCCGGCACACCGAGGTGTATCTCCTTTTAGCCGGGCCACCGGATCCTCAGCCTCGTCACACACGGTCACACCAGCAGCTGCCCTGCTTTACCAGACCTCTGTCGGCAGGGGGCGGCAAGATGGTATCGTGACGTGGGACCAGATGCGACCCTCTGACGCAAACCTCGATTCCACCACACCAAGATCTGTACGGCTCCAGGCCCGGCTGTCAGTTGAACAAAAGACATTTCCTCCTTTCCAAACTGGAAGCGAAAAAATGGAGCAATTAGCATTGACCACGCGCGTCGTGCCGCCAGTCACCCCCAACTTGGCTGCGATCAAGCTGCGCCCCTCCCCACTACCCCCACTACCCCCGCCCCTCGCGGCTCCACCCGATTTAAGTTAAAGAAAAGGTGCGTGGCCGAGCCAATAAGAAGACGCAAGTGTATTTGCGGCGCGCGGCGGTGCTCAATAGAGTGACTGATGCGAGCTGCAATTCTGCAGCTGCCGTTTCGGCGCGGGAGAATGCCCCCCCCCCCTCTCCATTCCCTTTCCCATCGCCCTGTATTGAGTGTGGTACTGGGTCTGTCCGCGCCTGGCCCGCGAGCCAGACACAGAGAGGCAGATTTACAGCGGCGGCAATCGTAGCCAATGAAACGACCGATTAATTGCGAAATGTGGGTGTGGGCCCGCCGAGGCAGTCCCGAGAGGAAAATAAAGTTCAATGCAGTTCTATAAAGGTACAAGATTTATTGAGTGTCTAGCTGCCTATGGCACGAATTAGATTAATCGGCACGAGGTGTTAGTAGATCCGCGGGCTGGAGGTACTTGGTAGCAAGGAGTTGGGTCGACCAGGGCGTCCCTCAGCCGATGTAGTAGCCGTAGGGGTAGTAGCCGTAGCCGTAGGGGTAGCCCCAGTACGGGTAGTAGCCGCCGTAGCCGTAGTAGCTGTAGTAGGACTCTGCGCCCTTCAGGTCGTCGTCGCCCTTGGCGCCCTTGGGGGCGTGGGCTGGGCGGGGCGCCCCGGGGCCGGCAGGGCCTGCAGGGCCTGCCCGTGCGCCCGGGAAGGGCCCGGGGGCGGCGCGCGGGGCAGGTCGGGGCTCGGGGCCGGGCGCCGGGGGTGCGGGCGACGCCAAGGAGGCGGCCACCACCGCCAGAAGAACCAGCGCCAAAACCTGGGGGCACGCATCGCACGCAGCGCGCAGAGTTGAAACGAGCCGAGCGATTCCGAAGTCGTTTCGTCGCCCCGTCTCCCTCGCTCCCCCAGCCCTGAGGCCAACGAGTGCGACAGAGACAGACGAAACGAATCTTCAGAATGAGCCTGCAGGAGCCCGGAGCACCTCGAAGGGCCTCGCCTCCTCGAACGCGGGGGGACTCACCGTCGTCTGCTGCATGTCGTCTGCTTGTGTCCGGCCAAAGGAGGCAACAAGACGAGGAGGAGGAGGTCGGCGGAGAACGAGCGACTGGAGCACGGAGCGGCACGCGCCGCCTTTATACCAACTCCTGCAAGCCGATCCCCCGCACTGCTTTCATCGCTCTGTCTCTCTCGCACCCGCGTGCGCGCACGGGGCGCCCCATGAGTGCGAGAGAGACAGAACGACGAAAGCAGTGCCGCGGATAGGAGCAAGCCTGCTGCCGCGCGGCCAGGCGACACAAGGAGGATCGCGGATCGCGGAATGCGTTTTGGAGTCTCTTTTCATGATTGGTTGCCCTAGCCGAGCAGCCAGCAGCCCGATGCGGATGGGATGGGACGCGGATGAGTTGCTGGGGTCCGTCCAGAGCGCGGCTAGTCACGAACCGATATAAATAGGGATGGTGACGACGCCGCGCTGCGCCGCGCTGGAGCTGGACAAGATGGGATCCTTCTGGACGGTTATTCCCTGCCGCCCCGGTGTAGCCGCGGCCGCAAAGCGGCTCCACTTCCCACAAAAAAAAGTTCTGATCAGAAATAAAAAATTACGCACATATTTTTGAAAGAGTCTAGAAAGCACCGGTTTGCTCGACCCTCCGATGTTTCAGGTGGCCTTGGTTCGCCTTGGCTACTGGGTGTGGAAGTGGGTGCAGTGCCCTCACAATCAGTTTTTCCCCGTTTTTCCTTCTTGCACAGTAATTCGATGAGTAGGGTTCTCTTTGCACGCCGCCTCTTTGGCCAGTGCTCACAAGCCAATTTTTAAAGAACTTGTTTCAGATTGAGAAGATTCGCCCATTTTTTTTTCTCTTGCCTTTTCTCACTCTTTCGCGTGTCTGGACGAGAGCTTGGTGCGCGCTGCGGAAAAGCACGCAAGTGCTCGCCGCGTGCATGTAGATTGCCGATGTGACAGCTTTGCGCTTGGCGCTTCGCGCGCTTGGCGAGGGAAGCGCTGGTCCCGCCTCCGCCATGCCTCCGCCTTCCCTGGGCTTACTCATGGCGCTTGTGCTGGACTGCCGGATGCTCCAGGGAGTCCTTGAGAATCCAATCCCCCCCCCCCTCTCTCCCTCGAGTCGTGACTGGCCATCTTGTCATTGGTATCGGTAGTCGGAGGTGTCTGCGCTACGCCGGTGTGTTCTAGAAGAGGTGCTGGAGCAGATGAGCATGATAGCCATTGCTCACACATTTAAGACTAAGAAAAGGAAGGAAAGGCTCAATGAAAGTAGCAACAATGTTAACTTTGCAAATTCTCTCTTTAATCATTTTCTTCTTACAACCTAATCAGCATATAAGTTAAAGACTTCACAATTATATAAAGTTAAAAACATTAATTTCTGCCATGAAGGAAGAATTATTTTTTTTAACAGATTTTTTTAACATTGTAATGTACATAAATTTTAAAATTTGTAAAAAGAAAAAAAAAGAAACAAACCATGGGCTGACTTAATTTTATACAAAAAGGTTCATCGCAAAAGCAATGCAAATGATGGTACTCCTAAGGACTGAACTTTTAATCTCTTGTCATGTGCTTTTTGATCCCACCTTTCTTTGACTTTTGCCCAAATAAATTATGAAAAAAATAAATCGAATCATCAATCAGGCCTCTAAACATTCAATACACTTTCAAAATTAATGAGAAAATAAAAATACCTTGATCCCAGGGAGTTTCTGCTTAAACTAGACCCCCAAAATTCAAAGATGGACCGGCAACATACCCCATAAGAGTATCTGCAATAATTTTATTAAAAAAGATTTCTTTTAGAAATACTACAGACAAAACATTCAAAAAAATTTATTCACATTTCTTCAACATCACTTTGGATAAACTGGAAAAAAATAAAAATAGAGGTAGAGGTGTGCTCAGAAACAGACTCCGAGGCTGGAAGTCAGTAACTCATCACAATGGAGACCATGAAGAACATGGGCACCAGGTAACATTTTCTTTTCAAAAAGGTGAGACATTAAATTTGATGCAGTTGACATGAAAATTGAGTGCTGTCATAAGTCAACCAAATATATGCAGGCTTCCAAAAACTAACACTATCGTTCTTCAACCCATAGTGTTTCTTGAGGGCTGAGCTTCAATTCTGCCAAAGACATCTGATGGTCAAAGGGAGATAGCTGAAAACATAATTTGAAGGGAAATGAAATTTTTTGATAATAATAACGTTACTGACATAAATTGTTAAGGAGAGACAAACTACTCACATCACGTTTAGGATAAGCAATAACTTTGTAGTTTTCACTAGGGTAACCTTTCACCGTCAAAAAGTCTAAAAGATACTGTAAACACAAGAGAATAAAAAGTATGAGATACAGTACATTTATGACATAAATTTTTTTTCAGCAGAAAGTGAAAAACCTTATTAAGAATTCACCTTAAGTTTTTCTTTGGCGAGAAAACGTCTATCAATAGTACCACCATCAGGTAATTTGTAACGTATCTTGATAATGGTGTCCCCTGATCCTTGCTCTGGTTCTGGAGGCAGCTGATTTTCAAGCTGTTGGCGGACAGCCTAAAAGAATGGCAAACATTAAAGTAAGCTATTTAACTTTTCTTTACCATTTTGTGGCTAGTAGGCGAGCATAATGCAAATATTTTACCTCTTGCATGTTTTCTTGTTCTTCTCTTTCTCGCTGGCTACGCTCACGCTCCTGTTCCTCATACAACTCCTGTTGCTTTTTAGATTCTTCTTTAGCTCTGAAGATAAGATAACAGTTATTTTTCTAAATTTCAGGACTAGGAAATATTTTAAAGCAAATCATTAACATACCTGTCCATGGCTAGGGAAGCTTGGTAGGCCCGGTCCTGTTCTACCTTGATCATCTCTCGAGCTGCTCTCTCCTCTTCATCTTTGAGATCTATAGATTGCTGATGACTAAAGACATCACTTGCTTCAAGTAAACAAGTCAACAGCTCACTCACACCAGTATTACCTGCAGACCAATTGAGTTAACACAATTGAAGAAAATTGAACAAAAGTAGTATTCTTCATAAAGAAACAAAACCATACCATGAACGATCCTAAATATCTCAGTGTTTAAGCGGTTTCGCATGAGGATAACAAGAATAGGGTACTTGTCTTCAGATATACAAAATATATTTTGCCCAGCCAAATTACCTAGGCAACGGTTTACTGAGTTCAAAAACCTGGTAAAAACAGGAGTTGTTAAAAGTAGAAATTATTGGTAAAATATGAACTTGACATCAACTAAACTTACATTGTCTTATTTGAAGGATGAGTTATATCCCACCCCCAAACCACAAAACTATCTGAAAGTACGCCACGAACAGATTCTGCACCAAGTAGTTGTGTGCAAAACACATTGGCTAAAACACTTTTGTCGTTGTGAATGTACATTGCAAGCAGCTTTCTCTGAAATGAAAAAAAAAAAAAAACATGTGGTTGCTTTGTCTAAGAGACAAAAAGGACAGAGGCCTACAACACACTTACATCTCTTGCAGGCTTGAGACAGGAGTCTTTGATAGCGTCATCAAGTGAACCAGGATAAAATGCAGGATAAGCTGTGCCATATCTGTTGGTGAATTCTTCACCAAAATTAATTGCTCCTGCCATCTCATCAGTCGCATCAGGAGGAACTATTTAATCAAAATTAGAATTAATGTAATTTCAAACAGTTACATTACATAGGTTAACAGAAAATAGGGATCTCCTTACCTAATGGACGAAGCTTGTTTGAAGGCATCTCATCGATAAATATTTCTTGATCTTCATCATCAGGTAATGATTCGGTCGCATCCTCAAATTCTTCAGATGAGGCATCACTTTCATCATTTTTATTCAACTGATCTGCTCCTAACTTTGAGACCTACAAAAGATAAATCACACAAATAATAGAAAACTTCAAAATTTTGAAAATATAAATGGTATGAAACATTTCATCATATTTCACCTTTGCACGAGAAGCAGAATTAGAAGCAGCACTATCATAAGTGCTAGTAAGAGTTAAGGTATGCTCAGGGAGATTCAGATTTGCTTCACACAGCATAATTGTATCAGTAGTGTCATGTGGCCAGCCAGACCAGATTTGGTGCCTAGAATAAATTCGGTATGAATGAATAAATTCCAAAAATGACCCTTGACAGCAACAAAACTGTCCCTGATTTTTTGAAAGTGTACCTTGCAGGTATGTCAGTGAAAGTATACACATCATTCTTCACTTGGAGAACTGTGTGAGATCCAGGAAAAGGCAAACAATAAGTCTTTTTGGAGTTCTTCTTTTCATGTGTCACATTTAAAATATAAGTCCTTGACATGGGATTGGGTGTATCTGACTCATCACTAGTAGCTGTGTGCCGTGCACGATAACTGTAAAGTGTCAAATAGAAGAAACATTGAAATACAGATAGTCCAAGTAGTGGGCATAATATTGGACAATAACTTACCTTCTACTGTCTTCCAGGCGTAACTTTAACTCTTTCGGAATACCCAGTGACTTCAATAGAATATTATCATCATCCACTTGCTGTAGCTCCCTGCATCCAGTAAGCCACTGATTTTTGGGGGGTATGTTAGTTCTCTGATAAATGAGGTTCTTAAGATGAGCTGAAATAGGGATAAAAGTACTTTTATGGTAAAAAACACAAGGGCAAAAATGGGTGCATAGGGAAAAACCATCAACATTTTCTCTTACCAACTGTGCTTGATTCAGAAGTCTCATATGAACTTTCAATGATACCACTTTGGACTTTAATAGTGTAATAATTTGCACTACCACGAGAAGTAGATGGCATGATATCTGGCATATCTAAATCCAAATTCCGCATGGGAGGTCTTATTACAGAGAAGTCTCTGGCAGACTCTGGTTCAATAAAGGGAGATGCCTGGGGTGGTGAGGGTGGAACATAAGGATCAAAGGGATTATTAATTGGTCCCGCCACATCCATCGGCTCTTCCATCAAGTTATTGACAGGAATGTGGTTTGGCACAGCCACAGCATCTGGTACAATTTCTTGAGCTTCTTGAGGAATAACTCTATTGACAGCAGCCTTTGTTAAAGAAGAAACAAGCAAAAATATTAGAGTAAATTCAAAGTTAAAAAAAAAAAAAAAATCTGTAAAATCACACTTACAAGCAGGTCCCATTGTGCTTCCTCCAAGTGAAAAATTGCTTCTCCAACATCATCCAGTCCAGTGCAAGCCTTAAAAAAAAATCACGAACAAAAGAATGTTAAATGATTGAGCATTTCAAGAGCAAATCTTTGCTGTCTAGTTAGTCTAAATTGGGTTGGAAAATATGGAAGACACTAGACAACGATGACGTGATCGAAATTTATACAGCAGAACAAATGTGTTCTGACCCCATTGTCACAAATGAGAACATAAGAGTTCAAACTGTTAAATTTATGACAATGATAGTATATGTCTTTTTCGTTTGCAGAAATAATGCGTGGTTAAAATAGACAAAGAACAGGTTAGGTCATCCAAATTACCACAATGTGTTTTGAAACTGTTGTCAGCTTCTCGTGGTGCAAGAACCCGATGACCATAAACAATGAAAATACGAGTGAACCTAACCTTTTGTCACAACATCAACATAATTTGCATCGATTCCATAACACTGAAGAAAGGCATTTAATGCATTGTACTCGTACCTGGAAATTGGCAAGTATCATCTCCCGATTTTGGGCCATTTTCAACAATTATCTTATTCACTTCGGTTCGAAAATAAACATTTCAATTACTGAATGGCCAGATGACTTCTCATTTGCAAGAAAACTTCAGGGCTCCAACACAGTTCGTGTGGAACGAGCCCAACTGCCCGCTGGACAAATTTTCTGACCACTCTGGCCCGGTGGTAACGCGTGAGAAAATGGAAGTGATTGCAAGGCACCACAATAAACATTTTTATGTGATGCTAAGACTACGGTTTTCTCGAATGTTCAACAGGCACAAGTCCTAGTTTGACCGCTATCGGGGTGGCCGTTGCGCGACTGCACTTTTCGCCGCCCAAGTTTGCTACTGTACAATGATGGACGTGTTCATGTGCCGTGTGCAGCTTGCCATGAAATGCGATTACGAAAACGCATCGGTTGCATCGGCACGGCCCGTGCCTGCGAGTAACGAGAGCAAGTGAGCAAGGTCAATGGCTCTAGAAACGGGAGAGGGGCGTGGGGGATGGGGGATGCACCGGACTGGATGGGTAGTAAGCCTCGCATATCAATTTAAGAAGCTCACACTGGTGTCATCCCTCGCCCCGGAACTTCTGCTGCACATTCACGAACAGCACTCGCTCCGTTGAGAATCGCGTTCTCACGAACGACCTATCTGCTTCCGCCGTGAGGGTCGGCAGCCCAACCGGCACGGCTGCGCGGCGGGAGCGCGCGCGGTTCAAACAGGCGCGCCGCACTGCCCGTTCGTGGCGCTGACCCCGCCGGGCTACGCCGGGCGGAGTGGCGGCAGCATCTTCGCGCCGTGCAGGGGGTGCACCGCGACACGCGGAAGGAGGAGAAGAGAGGAAAGCAGACGACGAAGCACTAAAAGCAGATGATGACTCGCGGATCGGCGAAGCCGGCCGAAAAGTCCCGGGGATACGCGATACCCGGCGATACCGATGCGTGTTGATTTGTGTCGTTGACTCGACTCCCCTCCCCTCCGCCGAGCTGCCGAGCCACGGAGCGGATCGGCGGAGAGGATGGCCATGCCCCCAGCCCCCCCGGGTTCCCCGGGTGGCGGCGGCGCCGGCGGCGCCCTGACGATTCCACTCCTCTCCACCTGGCTCCACCTGGGCCGCGCTCCGCGCTCCGCCGCTGCAGTCAGTAGCCAGTGGGCCGTTGGACCTGACTTGCAGTGGCAGTGCCGGCAGTGCTCGCACCTCCCGAAGGACCAACCAGCAGAAACCATGGCAGCCACCCTGTGCTTGGTGAGTACCCCGTGACTTGGCACCTATAGCTTCGGGCCCAACTGAGAGGTGCCAAAAACTGAATAACAAAAATTCGTAGCATAGGAAAGGGTTGTGATCCATGCACCACATCGCGAAACGGCTCCTATTTCGCAGTGGTTTAATTTAAGATCAAGAACGCGTCCACATTAGCGATCAGCGGCTGATAGGACCGCTTTGCTGGATACTGCGAGTGTGATGCAACAACCACTTACTCTCGCACGGACTTTGAATAAGGAGCACTTGATCGCTTCGCGCCGCAATCCGCTTCAGTCACGCCACCAACCGTCTGTTTGTTTTGCCAATATCATGGAAAATTTTCCCCCTGCAAGCTGACGCACAGCAGCCCCAGAAGGTGCCAGCGGGCGGCAGTTTCCCTCACGGCAGGACTTCCCTCCGCGTTTCCCAAGTGGCTATCGGCAATGATCAGACGCACAGTGGGCCAGAAGACCAGTGGAGGCGGCCAAAACTCGAGACGCGTTTTGAGCTCCAGAGTCGCTAAACAGGACACGAACCGAACGTGTGACCCCACCCCTGGATTCCTCGTTCGGAGAGCAATCCATTGATGGGGTCACACGTTCGCTTCCAGTCGCATTTAGCGACTCTGGAGCTCAAAACGCGTCTGGAGTTTTGGCCGCCTCCACCGGTCTTCTGGCCCACTGTGAGACGTGGGGCTCGCCGGGCCCACCCGAGGACCCACCCAAAGACCCATCCCTGCTGAAGGCTACGCCATCCTTGGCCGAGCCGAGGAAAAAACCGAATGAGCAGAACGATTGCCGATCTCACTTATCCCACGCATAATGAGTTCGGCGGCAGATGAGGCGGGGGGGGGGGGGGGAATCGCGTTCCGGGATCGGCAACCCTTTGGCTGGGCTTTGGGCTTGCCTTGTCCCGGCAGGCCGGCCGGGAGCAGCAGTAATATATTTTTTGTGCCAGACGAGTATCAAAACAAAACCGCGCGAGCGGGTTTCCCTCGTCAATGACCGGTGGATGGGGAGATAATGCAGCGGGCAGCGGCGGGGGACAGGCAGGGGCGCCACCGTGAGTGTGCGTCTGCGGTCTGGTGGGGCGGGGCGGGGCGGGGACGATGAGCCGCCAGTGACGCGTGGGGCTGCTTCGCCTGCTTCGCGTGCAGCGCTCGGTGCTGCAACGCGCGGCCCTCTCCGCGCGCACGCGCTGTCCCGGACGCGACGCACGCGTTTTCAAACAGCCCGATCACGATCACGGCCATCGAGGCCCTCAGCCTGATAAGCCGGTGCGCGGGGCGGGGCGGGGGCGGGGTGGGCCCGCATGGCAGTCCCGGGGGCGGGGCGGGTTGCGTCGCGTGCCGCCGTCAAGCGCTTTCACCGCCAAGCTGCACCTCTAGCTGCGCCAAGCCGACTTGGACCCGGCCCTCCCCTCCGAAGGCCGCGGCTCGAACGGTAATCACGGGCGCCAAGGGACCACAAGGGACGGACACGGAGGCCTCCGCGTATGTGTGCGTGTGTGCGGCACGCTGCGTGCCCGTCATGGGAACGGGCCGTGTGTGAGTGTGTGCATGTGCGCGCGCGTCTAGAAGCCGAGGTCGCCGCGGTGGGCTGGGCGTCATCGTCGTCATCGTCGTCTGTCACAGCAGGCTGAACAGGGCTTTCGTCGCTGTCTCTCTCGCACACTGCCCCGCCTGGTCACCTGCTGGTCACCAGTGCGCCGTGACACTGCGGCGTCGCACTGCTCGGGCCGAGGCCGCCAAAGTAGCCCGTAATGGTGTCCCGGCGAAACTATTACAGATCCGCGGCACGGAATGCCAGAATCCAAGGCAGAATCCCACGGACGGCCAGCGGAGCCAGCGCGGCCTGCTTCATTCCGCGCGGGGAATTCCACGAGCCACGCCTGGAACGAGCCTGGACCGAATGGTCGCACCTGCAGTGGTGCGTCGGCGCGTCGTTTCGTTTCTTCTTTCCAGCACGCTGCAGCGGCAGCAGCGGGGGTGGTATTGGGTCGCTCGCACGCAAAGCCACGCGCACACGCACACTCGGCATTCATATTCAATAGGCCGGTCTGCCTGAACGCGGCGCACGGAAATCCAAGCCACTTTGCCGCGGCAAGAGCGGGCAAGGACGCGCTCTCGGTTCGGGAGCCTCCCTCTGTCTCTCTCGCGCTCCGGCGGCCGCGCCGCGAGTGCGAGAGAGACGGCGACTAAACGATCCTCCGGGAGTCGGTTGGCTGCCGCGTGCTGCCGCGCGTGCGACGCACTCATTCGCTCCCCGCTTGCGTGCGTGCGACAAAGACGCGTGCCGCCCACCAGGCCCACCAGGCACTGCGCTTCCGGCGGAAGGACGCGGCGCGCGACGCGGCGGCCTCAAGCTTTTAAGCTCGCCGTCAACGAGAACTCGTATTTGGTGGCGGCAAAGTGACGCCCGCGAGGCGGTCTCCGACTCGGTCCCCGACGCTGCAGGCCGAAGGATGAGCCGCGGACCCTCGAGAGCCCCGCGACACCGCTGCTGCAGCGTGATGCTGATGGCGGCCGGGGGCACCCCGTGCTGGGGGGATTCTTGTTTGACAACATGACATCGACCCCGATAAACGACCTGGATCTGGAACCCAGACTGATTCGGAGGCAACGAACGGTAAAACCGGCCGCGCGCTCGCACCGCCTCGAAACAAGGAGCATCAAAAATGGCTCGAAAAAAGCGGAAAAACACCGGCAGTCGCCTTGTTTTCTCCCCGCGACCGCGACCGTGACCGTGCGACCCGGGCGTCATTCACTCTCCGTTTGCATCCCGACTTTCTCTGCGACAATCGCGGTTGCGATCCCGGAGGTGATTAATTTCCGCCGGTTCCGCGACAAGACGCGTAAAAACGAGACAATGAAACAAACACCTGGCGGTCGGAATGAATCATTCGCGCTGGATGGAAATGGGATGGCCGTCGCGGCGCGTCTCCGCGTCGCATCGCGAAAAGGCGCGTCATCTTCGCCGGAATACATCAAGCCGGCGAGCAACGCGGTGTGTGCGAGGACGGCGTTTGGCGCACGAGAGCACGAGAGCTCTCCATGCCAATTGCCTTACCGCGTGGACGACGCGGACCCCGCGGCGTCTCGCAGTGTGCCGCCTCGCCGCGCCACCGCGGTGCCGGGACGGCCGGGCCGGGCCGGGACGCACTTGAAATTCCAGGGCCGCGCCGCGCCGTCCGTCGGGCACCATGCGCACGGCCGCACGCACGGGGTTTTATTTGGCCGCCTACATGGAGCCGCGCAAACAGCCTGGAAAACGGCGTGATACTCTCGCGCTGTGCGCGGGTGCGGTGCGGCCCAGCAAAAGAAAAAGGAGAGGTGTATTAACGACGGTCGCCTCGTGTCTTTGCAGAATGTCGCTGCCGTGCTGGTGCTGCTGGCGGTGACGGCCACCGCGCGACCCCAGGTCGACGTGCAGTTCCCCTTCGGCAGCGTCAACGTCAACAAGGCCCTGGGCACGGTGGACGTGCAGCACCCCGCGGGCACCGTCAACGTCAACAAGGGCCTCGGCACGGTGGACGTGCAGCACCCCGCGGGCACCGTCAACGTCAACAAGGCGTCTTCGTCCACGTCATCGCTGACGTCGTCCTCGGGGTCCGCGCCGAACCCCGGTAACGAGTTGTTCGCGCTCATCGCCAGGCTGCTGAGCGGCGGCGGCGGCGCGCTGGCCGCGTCCTCGACGCGCTCGGCGGCCAGCGACGGCGAGAAGGTCGCGGAGGCCAACTTCCCCGGCGGCGCCGTGAACGTGCGCAAGGCGGCGGCCACCGGGGCCAAGCAGGTGGACGTCGCGTACCCCGGCGGCTCCGTCAACGTGGGCAGGAACGAGGTGACGGGCCGCAAGAAGGTGGACGTGGCCTTCCCCGGGGGCTCCGTCAACGTGGGCACCAAGGGCGACAACGTGGACGTCGCCTTCCCCGGCGGCTACGTCAAGCTGGACCCCAAGGTGCCCGGCCAGCGGCGCAGCGGCGTCGTCGTCTTCCCGTTCGGTTCAGTGCGCTTCGGCTGAGCACCGAGCAGGCCCGGCCATGCAGGAGCACGCGCCCGCCCGGGCCGGGCCTGCCAGAGGACGGCAACTGTGTCTGTGATCTCAAACTCGAAACGAATTGAAAGGAAGCCGTTAGTGGTTCGTTGAGGCGAGGTGCGAAGTGCGCCCGGCGACCACAGCGACATCGACGGCATCCAAGAAGCAGTGTCGTGCGGTTCCGGCCGTCCGACGCGGCAGCCGCCACGCGTTATGGCTCAGGGGCGTTGTGGCAGCCAATTGGCTGATGACAACGGGATGGCGCGCTAGCGTGGCTGGCGCGCTTCGCTGAGCCCGTCTCGTTCTCGTGCACCGGCTGCCTGCACCTCGCCCTTTTATCGTTATTGCATTTTGGCGTGAAGGTTGAGCGGGTTGCCCTTGCACTCGGCCCAATGTCGCTCGACCAATGTCACTCCACCAACGTCGCTCGCTTTCTGCCACCTTTATTTTATCGCCGGAGAAGGCGTTCGCTTAATTTATGTTGTTTGCTCACTTGATGTAAAATAAACGAGACGATTTATTTCTACCTTGAATTAGTGTTTTATTATGATAACGTAGACATAATAATACTGAGCAAAAAGGAACTCTACACTGAAAAACATTCCAGCAGCACTCGCCGTTAGTACCACTTTTCCTAGGAACGGAACAGTCCACAACAACACATTCAATATGACGCAGACGACGTGGGGGAATTCACCAGCGGAATAAAGATTCCAGATAAAACGTCTAAAAGAGCGCCAAAAACAGGCTTGTTCCCCTTGCAAGACAAGACACCGACAGACCAACAGGTACGAGTAGCATCTATAAAAGTAAGCTACGACAAGAATAAGCTTAAGTCTTAACTAGAGAGGTAGTGCGAAAATCCTGAAACGCGAGGCGCGAAAACAAAATAAAAAACAAGAAGTTTGTCAAGCCTAGTGGAGGGAGACGGCTCTGACAATACCCTGCGCCCGAATGGAACCACTAGTGCGTGGGGTAGTGACGGGCCCGAGAGCGGGGCCGCCGGCCCATGGCTTCGGTGTGGGTTGGGGTATTGTAGGACCCTTGTCCCTTGCGTCTTGAGTCCACTGGTTGCCCGGCAGGGGGCCCGCCACGTCTACCAATCGAGCTTCTTTTCCTCGTTGGTCCACTTGTAGACGCCGCCCCTCTTGAGGAACATGGCCTCGTCGAAGCCGGCGTCGTTGATGGCGGCCTTGACGCCCACGTCCAGGATGGACTTGGAGGGCTTCTTCCAGCCCTCTGTGCAGTTCAGGAAGCGCATCTGCCAACACCGAGATTTGGGTCAAGCTTATCTGACACGCCCAGCCGCCAGCGACCTTTTAAGAGCGGATACTTACATACTCGTCGAGGATCAGGTACGAATCACGCATCTACACCATGCAACAAAAGAAAAAAAAAAGATTATTAAGTTAAAAAATGTCAATAAAAACTAAAAAAAAAAGTACGAGTGTGTTGTGAGGTACCTTGGCGTTTCCCTCCGGTACCAGCATCGGGACGGACTTGTGGCGGTCCAGGAAGACCTGGAACTCCTCGTCCGAGATGTAGAACGGCTCCGCGTCCCGGAGCGCGCTCTCGCCGCAGTTTTCGCCCTTCAGGAGAAGGCACTGGAACACCTGCACCGAGACGACCCACCCTAAACATTCCGCGCGGCTCATGAAAACCAAATCAGAGAAAACAAATACTGCGCGACCCCGCCTCAACCTGCTGCTCTGGGGAAAGGTCGCAAATTCAAACCTTCCATCTCATGGGGTTGAGGCCCAGGATGTTCTCCGCCATGTCCTCGTCCTTGTTGAACGTGTTGACCACGGTGTTGATCTTGAAGCACACCTTGTGCTCGCGACACCAGTCGTGGATCTGGTACAGCTTGTTGACGTGCCTGTTGTCCCGGTTGCCCTGGCCGCGGCCGATGCGGTCGTTGGTCTCGTTGTCGAAGCTGTCGCACGAGATGGCCAGGATGTCCAAGTAGTCCCCTACAAACAGTTCAAGATATGTTACAAAAAATGCAAAAAAAAGTTGAATTTAAATGTTAGGTTAGGTTAGGTTAGAAGGGTTAGGTTGTCCAAGTAGTCCCCTACAAACAGTTCAAGATATGTTACAAAAAATGCAAAAAAAAGTTGAATTCAAACAGAGAAAAAAAATGTTAAAAATGGTGAAGTTACCGTATTTGTTGAACCAGGACTTGCGGATGAGGCTGCCGTTGCTGACGATGGTGACGCTCTCCAGGCGCAGGTCCTGCTTGCAGAACCTGACGAGCTCCCCCAGGTGGTCGCCTCGGTCGTGGATGAACGGCTCGCCGCCGGAAAAGTTGATCTTTTCCATTCCTGTCAAAATGAAAATGGCCGTTTTCAAAATGTGTGTGTGTGGAGGTGAGGGGGGGGGGGTGACCGCACCGGCCTCCTCCACGCACGACGTGCCTCGCCCGTCTTATCTGTGCGGCCGTCTCCTCGAGGGTCAAGTTGCACACCTTGGCACCAGCCTTGGCATGCCGACTCGACAGTGCAGTGGCATCCGCCCTATTCCCCTCGCTGAAAATCGAAAAGGCGCACTCGATGCGCCAGCGAGCCGTTTCCGTCGCTCCGTCTTTGTCGCACTCACAGGGCATCCTGTACAGGCGCGAGAGAGACAGAGCGTGCGGTGCAGAGTCCGGTCCGCTCCTACGCGTCTACGGGAAGACCCCGCCGTGCTGAGCGGCAGCCCAACCGCCAGCCGTGCACGAGGGGCTGCCTACGCGCACGGCGACCCGGACGGCTGCTGAAGCACTGGTGTTTTCCGCGGCGATACGCCGTCTGGCCTATATTCGGAATCGGAGAGTCCACATGGCCTTTAAGAATGTACAGGCTATACGGTCGGCCCGGTTTTTTAGGAAAACGCCACCGTGCTGAAGGCCAAGGCCGCCGCGCCGCCAAAAGACAGTGGAGGACCAGTGTCCGGTTTCGGTGCGGCCGGCATCCTGGAGAGGAGAGATCTAGCGACCTAACCTAACCACAGACGGATCGATTCCCCGGCCGGCGCCGGCCTCTGCCTGCACTGCACCCAAGGTCACCAGAGCGAGGGTTGCAGCGCTCGCACCGACCGCCACTGCGCCTTGCGATGCGCGACGCGCGGTGCCGGTGCGGGCGATTGTCGAAACGGGCGGACAGCGCGCTGCGGCGCCTCGACTCACCCTGGTCCTTGAGCATGCGCAGCCCCTTCTTCGCCTCCTCCAGAGGGAGGTAGAAGGATGTCGTTGCAGTGTGGAAGCAGAATCCGCACTTGTAGTTGCACTTCCGAGTGAAGTGGTAGTTAACACTCCTCGGGGTAGCTGCGGCGGGCTGGCCTAGAGGCTGGCCGAGCTCTCTCGCCCGGGCCGCACCATGGACTGGCTCTGTCTCTCCAGAGGCATTCTTCCATAATTTCAGCTTCAGCGCCAGGCGCTCAGCCACTGCCACCGCCATCGCCCACACAAACCACACAAACGCAAAAGTCCATTTCCAGAGTACAAGCGCTGGTTGCATCTTCACCACGGTGGCCAGCGTTGCGTCACCCATTGAAGTCTGATGTTTACCACTGTTCAAGTTCACTGTTCAATTTCACTATTCACCACTGACTCGATGCGACAGGCTTCTGAAACCAGCTCAACTGTACGCGCGCACGGCAACCAGCCTCTGCTTTCCAACCGTGGATGGAACGGACCAGTCAAATGACGAATTTGCAACTTTTTAAGTACGCGGCCGCGGTCCTACGAGAGGTCGTTTCTCAGTTATTCCCCGCTCCAAGGCCCAGTGCGCATGCGCGTCGGGGGGACAGTTTCGCCAACGTCACCACGCAAATACAGTGTCGGTGACGCGATGACGTGTTTTTGCCTCTGTGCCTCGGTAATTTTGAAAGTGCACTTTTCGGAATGAGAATTATTATTTCTATCGAGAAAAGCGTATTTGGCATCCCGCTTAAGTCAAATCACGGAGATCGAGTTTTTACAGTGACAGGTTAGCCAACAGCAACAAGCTAGCAGCCGATCGATTCTAGCAGACAGCAGCAGACAGCAGACGCAACCTCTCAAAACTTTGATTTTAGAATGGCTTCGGAATGACAGGTTGTGACGTTTCGTTTTGCGACGGTGGTTCAACAGATTGAGTTCTGTGGTATTCCCCATTCCCTGTTCTAGTGACGAGTTAGTCACCCGCCTAACCTTATTTCCATTTGTTTGGAAAGTAAACATGACTATCCAGCTGTGTTTGTTCCTTCCTTAAAACCACAGGACCATTGCAAAAGTGGCACTGATTGATGTAGACTGAATCTGTCCATTGGCTTTTTTGGTAATCTTGTGGCAGACGCAAAAAACCACAGAGGTCTTCTTTTTGGACAAACAAAGAAAACTAGAAATGACGGAGGAAAATGACAATAATACACCAAATGTTAAAATTAGGGACATTAACGAAATGACTCAGAAGCCAGACTCAGCATTTCATTGCATTTCACCTACGTTCTGCAACGAAAGCTCAGTGACCAATGAACCGCTAATGCAAATGCTTCTCAATGCCCATTTAGCTCAAAGGTGTGTATTATTTGTTATTGTATGAACAATGTTTGACCAATTGATTTCTTTCCTTAGTTAAACTATGTTTCTTAATTTTCAGGACATCAAATTCCTCTGAGACGCTTAGGTCTGAGAAAATAATAGTTCCAGTGCCTCGACCTACAATGGCTGATCCTAATCGAATCTTTCTTCTGCAAGTTAAAAAGTTACAAAAGGAACCACGTCAAGATAATGCCCAGGAAGCTATCTTACCAGCTCCTGATAGTGTTGCGCAGTGCTTTAAAGAAACACTGCTTGTAAAAGAACCAGAGTCACTGCAAGAGTCACAAACTTATAAAGTCGCGCCACATGCTGAGAAAACACCAAAACATTTGACACATGTGCCATCGTCTGTGCAGCCAAATGATTTGAATGCAGGCCGAAGAATTTTTCTTTTGCAAGTTGAAAAATTACAAAAAGAATCTCCACATGGCTCCACAAATAAAGATCAGTTCAAAGAAAATATGACACCTGATGAAAAACATTGTGATCCATGTAATGCCGCACAACCACAAGAAGCTCCAGCCTTCCCTGCTGTGTCAGGTCCTCTGTTAGATGTGTGTCCAAATGAAATGCCGATTCAAAGGTAACACAAACTGTATTTTGTATATTGATATTCCTAGGTTTGGTGTTAATTTTAACTTCCTTTTATTTGCTTTCTAGTGCCTCATCCATCATGTCTGCATTGAAAGAAGACTGTCCCTCAAGAGAAACTACCAGAAATGAGGAGAAAATCTCAAAACAAGAAACAAGTTTTTCAACTGTTAAAAAAAATCCAAATACTGTCTCTAAACGAGTGAAAGGTTGTGACCAAAATATTCATAAAATAAGGAGACTTCAAACTCGAGTACTCTCTCTAGAAAACTTACTGTACAAAATCATTGATGAGAAGTTAGTTCCCACTGGTGTCATACAAACCATACGGAAAACCCTGAGAAGAGGAACTAAACTCTTTTAAAAATCTCTAACTGACTTTTATGATCCCTTTTTGCTGATCTCCTTGCCATGTGATATTTTCAGTTTTGTGGAAATTTGAAATCCATCAGCGATATTTAAGAAATGTTTAAAAACATCAAAGAATTTTAAAAATTTTAATTCAAAGAATAAAGTATTTGAACCAAACCTAGGATATACCACAAGTTTTGAACCCAAGCCCCCGCCTTGGCTTAATTTTGTTCCAAAAATAGTCACCTCACTCTCTGGGGGACCTTGACTTAGGCGCTGAGCGAGGAGAATGCAGTTCGACACAGTCCAGACCCCGCTGGCCAAAAGCTGCGGGGGAGGGAGTGGTGGGGAGGGGTGGGGGGTGCATGAGCGGATTGACGAGTGGCCTGCTTGCGCTGCTCGCGGTCGAGACGGACGAGACGCTGGCCAATCCTTCGGCAGATGGTCATCCTTCGCCACTCCACTCGCTCAACATAGAACCGCTCGCGGCGCCAGTACGCCAGTAAATAAAGCCCAGCAGGCGCGGATTCCGAACAAAGCTTTCTGTCTCTCTCGCACCCGCACTCAACTCCCATGGGTGCGAGAGAGACAGAGCGACGGTTGCCCCGTCCGATCCGGAATCAGCCTCCAGGCCGCTGGGCAGGGGGCAGGTGCGGAGAAAGAATGGGGCGCGCGCACACACACACACACACACACACCACTTTACACGGGCCTTTCGCCCGGGGGCTGGGAAAATTGGGATGGAAGTATCAACAGCTGCAAGAGGCGTGCGTTCAAATACGGGTCGGCCTCTTGCCTCGCATTCTTTCTCTCCTGAGAAAGCAGGTGGTGGGGACTGGGGACGCTGCGGGGACGCTCATCGCGAGAAGTGCACCGCCGCCGTGCCGTGGGCTGCATCGCGGCGGAGCATGGCGGCGAGCATGGCGGCGAGCATCGCGGCGCCTCTCCCCTCCCGGGGCGGGGGCATCTCAATTATATTTCCCTGCTATTTATACGGCACACAACGCAATGCAATGCCGCTGTCCCCGCGGCGCCCCCCGCGCGGCGACACGCGGCGACACGCAACCACGGCCGCGACCAGGACGAGGTCCGCGACGACGACCTCGCGGCGCCGAACTCAAATCGGTCGCAGTGGTGAGGTCTCGGTGACCGCGAGGACGCCGACGTGCAGGCCGGTGTGACGACGGGGCTCGGACTTCCCTTACAGGATCAGGGCGGCCAGGGCCTCGGCCAGGGCAGGGCGGCGGGGCAGGTTCTCAGCTGTGCGGCCGAGGCTCGCGTCGCGGTCCTGTACGTCCCACAGCAGCACGGCAGCACGGCACGCCCCGGCACGCCCCGGAAATATTTTTAGACCGCAGTCCTAAGTTAAGAGGTGGCGGTGGTGGGCTGGCCCTGCTGGCCCGGCCCCTCCCGGTGCGCGCGGACGCTGGCTGCAGTGCGTCCGTGTCTGGCGCACGCCGGCGTCGTGGTCCTCGCTTCGCTCCGCCCGCACGCTCCGCACGCCCCGCGAGCCGCGTCGTCCGCACGGCCCCCTTCACGTCGCCGTCGTCGGCGCCCTGCCGTCGTGGCCGCCGTCTCCGCGCGTCGCTGTCGCGCGCCCCCGCGCCCTCGCCGCCGCGAACAAGCAGTGCGAGTCGGTGACGTGCGCAGTCCTGGCGGCAAGGCGCACGCCGTCGTGAACCGCACCTGTGGAGCTTCCCTGGACGTCGCCTCGACGTCGCCGTGGTGACGCGCCAGCGCGTGGTGGGGCCGGGGAGCTGCGGTCTGTCCGAGTTGTTGACGGCCTGCTTGTCCTCGTGGCGTGTAAGTGTTTAGCCTGCGGCCGTTGCTTAGCCCGAGCGATGCCCCATCGGCATCCTCCCCGTCCGCGTCGGCCTCCGCGTCGGCCGGCCGGCCGTGTGGGCGGGAGTGTCTAGTGTCTATAGTACACCGCCAGAATGTCTTGGCGCCTCGCGGCCCGCGCCTCAGGGACCCAGTCACGCAGTCACGCACGCGCGGGAGAAAAACAATCAGAGGGGAGCTGTCTGGCCGCCTGGCCTGGCCTGGCCCCGGTAGGGGCGATCGCTCATCGGCTCGCCTCATAACTCGGCGTGTTTGTCGCCTGTCCATCACGCGGCCCTTGCCGCCGTGCGCGGCGTGCGGCGTGCGCGTGGACGCGGCGCCGTGCCGCACTTTGTCTCAGGCCGCCGCGCCACACCGTGTCGCGCTGCACCGCGCTGCACCGCCCTGCACCGCGCTGCACCGCGAACCAGAATAGATGAAAGGGCGTGATTGACACGCGGCGATAGTCGAGGCGAGGGAAGAGCTTCGCCTGCTTGGCCGCGGGGAAGGGAAATCCTCATTAAGAACAAGGGTTGGCAACCCTGCGGCCTGCAGGCCTGCGGTGGCCCGCGGCCCAAGGCGGACGGGACGGACACGCTCCGACTAGTGTTGTGTTGGCATCAGCACGCCTACACACACTCACACACACACACACACACACACGCTCACACGTGCAGGATGATGATGGGTGTGGTCCTAACTAACTCTGTTCATTATTGAGGTCAAAGCGCGCGTCGACGGGCAGAGCGGGCAGAGCGGGCAGAGCGAGAGGGAGAAAGAAAAACCCGCGGTGGGATTCGATTCGGATGGTTGGCCGCAACCAAATCGAAGTGGGCGTTGCAAAGGGCGCCCTTGGACTGGCTTGGAAAGCTCGAATACCAGCGGCATCGGTTACCCATTTGAAGGGGACGGGGGCCGAGGCCGGCCCTGCCTGACGCACTTGACGTGTGTCCTTGCGCTGCCTCCAGCGACCATGACCTTCCCGGCGAGGCCCCGGGCTCGGCCTCAGGCTTGCCTCGGGCAGGTCAACGCCGGCCGTTCCCCCGGCCGCGTTTCGTCCACACAATAAGGACCGGGCCCCGCCAGGCCCCGCGATGACAGGCACCCCGTGCGCGTGGCGTGCGGTGTCTGCGGCCCGGGGCGTGTCGGCGACGCGCCCTGACATGTGTCCGCCGCCGTCCGCCGCCGTCCACCGCCCTTGGCGCCTCCCTTACGTCACACTGGACGCGCCGCCCACCGTGACATCACAACCGGCCCCGCCCCCGCAACCCCGCCAGCCCCGCCGTGACGGTCACCGAAATAACGCAGGATCACGCATCACGACCACCCGCACCGCCGTCCCGCACCGCCCCGCGCCGCAGCGGGAGACGGCGGCGTGCGCGTGTACGCCACGACTGCACCACGCCGCCGTCCTCCCTCGCGGCCCTATGACTGTCACCGGTTACGACAGCGCCTGCTCTGCTGCAGCGCTGCGGCCGTCGAGCACCTCTTGACCTCTGCGTCGCTCTGCGTGGCGTCCGGGAACCACCGGGAAGCGGCATCGCTGCTGCAACACTTCGGATCGTAAAGCACGCCACAGACGCCATGGCCGCCACGGCCGACATGCCCGACAAAAAGGCAAAGGTGATGCGAACCAGCCCCGCCGGCGGGGCGGCGCGGCCAGTAACTGCGTGTGAAGTGTGTAAAGCGTTTACAGACTGCTGGCCCGGCCGACGCGCGCGTTTGGCGAAATAGTTTAATGGCTTTCACACCAAAGCCGAGGCACACTAATAGGCCTAGTCGTGCGGAAAGACAGACGGACGGACGGACAGACAGGCGGACTGGCGGACAGACGGACGGACTTGATGTACGGCCGCGGGGCGGGGCGACCGCACGCTCACAATCACCTGTTCTCGCCGCCCGATGCTGCGCGGTGCTGCGTAAGGAGGCAGTGCTAATTAACCCGAGGAATGCGGGGTGGTCCTTTCGGCGCGGCTTTCGCGCGAGGAAGGCAGAAAGCAAGTCTCCCGCCCACTCTCTGTTTCTCTCTCGCTCTCTCTCCCCCCCGCTCCACTGTCTGTCCCTCTCACTCCATCTCACCGAGTCGCAAATTGCAAGCTCAGCGCGCTATTTAATTAAGATAAGATGCATCAGTCGCCTCTCTGTACCTAGCTCGGGACCGCGGCGCCTCTCTAACTCCGACCGCCGCGGCGTGCTCTGCTCACCTCACCTCGGCATCGCCCCGCCCCGCGCAGCCCCGCGCCGCCCCGCCGCGTCCCCCAACTCAAACTGCAATAACCGGCCCTTTTGCGCGGCAGAAAAATTAAATGGAGCCCCTCGACAGCCGCGGAAAGGAGGAAGGAGTTTGAGAAATCCTCAAGTTAATTTTCCCGCCACGTGTTTTCAGTTCGGCCCCGGTTCGGCCGCTCGCTGGCGCGCCCGTGTCGAACACGCGTGCGGACGAGGCACCAAACAGGCGTGGTTTATCGCGGGGCGCTCGCGGGGCGTGGGCGAGCGAGTCTGTGATTGGGGGGAGGGGGAGGAGGGGGAGGCCGCCATGCCACGCAGGACCGTAAAAACGGTTCCCGTACAATCCACTTGAGCCGCTTTGGAGAGGTCGTTGGCGACATCATGGCAGTGGTGCCTGGCGTGGGGGCGGGGCTTGGGGGGGGGGGGGGCGAGGCTGTGCACGGCCTCATTGCCCTCCGCGTTCGCCGCGCTCGCTGCAGCAATGCGCCCCGCTGGATACGTCCAGCCGCCCCATCAAGTGCTGACGCTGTGACAAAGCGTCCGTGAGAGTGGTGTACGTGTGAATGTGCGTGGGTGTGTGTGGGTGGGTGTGTGTGTGCGGCCGTGTCCGTGTGTTTGTGCGGCCGAGTGTGACCTGGGTGCACGCCGCGTCCGCCGTGTCCGCCGTGTCCGGCCGCCCGTACAGCTTTTAATGTGTTTACCGATGCAGGTGCGGAGGTAAGGCTGCACAAAGCGAACGCGCGTCCCCGGGGCGGGGTGGGGCGGGGTGGGGCGCGGTGGGGCGCGACGGGTTGTGGCTTGGCAGGGCGCCAGTCACCGGCTAGACGGGGTCCAGGGGCGGGGGGGGGAGGAGGGAAAAGGGGTTAGCATGAAGAAAGGGTGCAAACGCGGAGGTGTGCGAAGGGGGAGGGGGAAGGCCCGGCGCGACAAATTCCAAAACGTTTATTTTTGGCGGGAAACAGAAAGGGCAGGCGCGACACTGTGCGTGATGGAT